GCGTGGAGTGTGCTTCTCTCTGTGTCTCTGTCTCTCATGAAATGAATAAAAAAAAAATTTTTTTAAGATTTTATTTATTTACTAAAAAATATATATATATATATTTTATTTATTTACTAATAGAGACAGAGAGAGAGAGGCAGAGACACAGGCAGAGGGAGAAGCAGGCTCCATGCAGAGAGCCCGACCGCTCTCTAAACCGCTGCGCCACCGGGACTATCCCCCCAAAAAAATTTTTTTTAAAGAAAGAAATGTCAAGCTTGGGTGAGTTAGTTACTTAGAGCTAGACTTTGTCAGTAAGAAGGGGCTAGGACTAGAATGAGACCTGCCTCCTGAGGCAGAGTCAAGACCAGGGAGAAAATATCCAGCAGGTGAAAGGCTCTGTATTATTGTCTAATTATCCAATCTAAGAAAATTTATACAATCCAAACAAGTGGCAGAATCAGCAAGAGGAATGCCCAGAGGAAATCCTCCACATTCTTCAAACATCCTATGCTCTTGTAACCACTATGCTGTGCGCAGTTTGGAATGTCCTTCCTGCCTTTCTCTGCTCAGCAGATTTACCTTTTACAATCAGGTTATAACATCACTACCTCTATAGAGCCAGCCACTCCTTTATAAAATTTACCATACTGTATGTAAGAAACATGTGTATTCTCCTCCTTCCCATGTGAATCTGTGAACTGAAGCTCTAGGCAGGGTCCATGTTTGATTGTTCTTTGGGTCCCTTCCAGTGTCTAGCTCAGAATTTGGCACAAAGTTAGGTGCTCAATCAATATTTATTAATGAGGAATGAATGGACTCAGATGGACAGCACCAAGTTGTTCATAATCTACTGCAAGATACTATATTCTTTTTACGCCTCTAGCTCTGCCCCAGGTGGGTAACTTGTAATGAGAAAGAGTGGAATAGTTGGGACATTGCCTCAATTTCTTCCTCTCTGTCATCCTCATTTTGCTTCAGCCACTAGAGGTGAGGCGTTGACATGGAGAGGAAGACGGGGAAAGGAGTGGGAAAAGTCTTCTTTGAACTAGTAATGCATCTGTCTTTATGCTTTTTGGGTCTGGCCAATGTTTATAGCTGTTCCTATCCATCATCAAAGCTTCATGGGGTGCTTTTACAGGCTCTTCAGGGGTTCCCTGCTGGGCCTCTGTCCTGAATTTCCCTTAACAAAGGTATCTATGTTGCCAGTATTCATTTGTCTTCTTACTTCTGGGGTCTCTTTTCCCCTCCAGGAGGCCCTATTGAACAGGACCCAGGATGGGCCTATGCAAGCTTTCTCTCACTTAGCCCACATCTGGCCTTCAGAAAACATTTCATGGGGTGCCTGGGTGGCTTGGACGGTTAAGTGTCCAACTCTTGATTTCAGCTCAGGTCATGATCTCAGGGTTGTGAGATGGAGCCTGGAGTCGGCTTCATGCTGGGAGTGGAGTCTGCTTAAGATCCTCTCTTTCTCTCCTGCTGCCTCCTCTAAAATAAATTTTTTTTTTTTAATTTATGATAGTTACACACACACACACACAGAGAGGCAGAGACACAGGCAGAGGGAGAAGCAGGCTCCATGCACCGGGAGCCCGACGTGGGATTCGATCCCGGGTCTCCAGGATCGCGCCCCGGGCCAAAGGCAGGCGCCAAACCGCTGCGCCACCCAGGGATCCCTGCCTCCCCTAAAATAAACAAACAAAACATTCCCTGACAAATTCTGGGAGAGCAGCAATATAGCAGCACTCTCCTGGGTCTGCCACCAAAGCAGTTATCAGGCTTGTCTCTTGTTGCTAGATTTCCCCGGGTAGGAGGTAGATCCAGTCACTGTGTTCTCCAACAGCAATGGGGACGAATTTGGCACCTCAAACGCCCCTGGAAGTTCCCTCTCCCAAATCACCTGGCCTGAGCAGCTAAATCTTCTCCAAGAAGGGTGCAGACTCATAGCCAGAAATAGTTCCACACAAATTCTCTATCCTCCACTCTCTTGACCCCCTAGATAAGGGATTTAAGAACTTTAAAATAGATTTTAGGCCATTAGAAAAAAATACATATGGTTTTTACACCTCACTTTGAAATTTCACATATGTAAATTTAAAAAGAAAGAAAGTCAGTCAGTCCAGGCAATCTCTTGGCATGGGGTAGGGAGAGTATCTATAAACAATGAGCAAGGCTGGGGTGCAGGATCCATATTTTGACGCTGGAAGAGGGTTAGAATATAAAGCATGTTCCAGAGATAGAATTTGGAGTATAAAGAAAGAAGCCCAGTTCACCTAGAGGGGACCAACGTTGGTTTTCTTTCCACTCATGATCCATCATCTTTCCCACCAATGCAGCCTCCTTTGAGGACCTCTCTCCACTCTGGTTCATTAGACAGACTGAATATGGCCAGATCGATTAAGTCTTTTCTCAGAGAGCACTAGGCCTCAAGCAATTCAAGTGATGTGTATGATTCCTTGTTTGCTTGTCTCAAAATTCCTGGCACTTTGAGGAACATTCAAAGGCTGAAGTATTCTTAAAGCCTGGAAAACCTCTAGGGGGGATATTACCAACCACACATCAGTTAACTCTACTTTCTGCTCTGGCCCAGACAAAATACTCAGTTGTACTACTTTGTGTTTTAATACAATTGCCAACTTTCTGTTCATATGTTGTATTATTATTCAACACTAATACATATTAGATGCTCAGCAAACGCTAAATAAACAAATGTGAATAGTAAACAAAATGTGAATGAATAAACAAACAAGGGAATGAATAAACAAATTCCTCTTTGCAAAGATCAAAGTTTAGTTTGGTTTTAATCCCCTTCTACTCCATTTACCCTTTATTGGTAGTCTGAAACCTATGTTCACGCCTCATGGTCTTAAAACATAGTATGTAGTTTGATGATGGATTTTATACTATTAACCTTTGTAACACTGAGGCTGACTTGATTTATACATTCAATGGATGCTTAACACCCACCACCTATCAGGCTTTGTGCTAAATGCTGGGAATAAGTTAGATATAGTCTCCTGTCCTTATGTTGTTTTTTTTCTCCTGTCCTTAGGAAGCTTAAACTTTATATGGGAAGAAATAAGTAAACAAAAAATTATAATAAGTGGAAAATGCTGTGAAAGAAACAAGAGTATTGTGATAGAAAATAATAGGGTATTATTTTAAATAGCATAGTCAGGGAAGACCTAGCTGAGGAAGTATCATTTAAGCTGAGGCCTGAAGGAGGGGAAGATATCAGTTAAGCCTAGAGATGTGGGGAAAACCAGTCTAGATGGAAGGCATAGTATATGCAAAGGCCTGGAGGCAAAGAGGTTGTTTCTTTTCTCTCCATTCCAAATCCTGTTGTAGTGAACATTCTTGCACAGTGACAGTACCTGTTGCAGGAGTATTTCTCTGGGTTGGATTCCAGGTTTGCATCTTTTTCTCTGTTCCATGTCTGTGATGTTTCTTTTTCTCTCCCTAGTTTGCCTTTCTGAATTGGGGTCTTCTCCCTTCTCCCGTTCCCCCCACTTTCTCTTTTTCTCAAAGTAACTGTTAAGAACTTTTTTGTTTGGGCAGCCCTGCTGGCTCAGCAGTTTAGCGCCGCCTTCAGCCCAGGATGCATCCTGAAGACCCTGGATCGGGTCCCATGTCGGGCTCCCTGCATGGAGCCTGCTTCTCCCTCTGCACATGTCTCTGCCTCTCTCTGTGTTGTGTGTGTCTCATGAATAAGTGAATAAAAATCTTTTTTTTTTTAAAAAGAACTTTTTTGTTCTTATAGGAGAAAAGATACAGTATAGCTCTTATCAAAGTATTTGCTTCTTATGTTCTTTGGCTGCAGATTGTTTCACTCCTACTGTCCATCCATCCACTCCTCTATTCACTCAGTACTTACTGAGCACCTACCTTGTACCAGGCATTGTTCTAGGTCCTAGACATACACAGCCTTACGCAAAGCTTTTCAAGTATATTCCAATACACCTAAGGTACTTGCTAAAATGCCAATTTCAGGACTCCACCCTTGGTTTTACCCACTCTCTAGGAGTAGAATCCAAGACTTTACACTTCTAAGAAATTCCCAGGGTTTTTTTTTTTTTTTTTTTTAATCCCAACTAAAAATTTAGAACCACTGAGTGGAAAAGAGACAGATAAATGAAATTTACAACTCCAAGAAAATGTTTTGATTGATAGTTTAAGATTATCAAAAGGCTACGAAATAACACCTGGGTCTTAGAGGTAAGAGAGAGTCCTTTTTTTTTTTTTTAAGATTTTATTTATTTATTCATGAGATATACAGAGAGGCAGAGGGAGAAGCAGGCTCCGTGCAGTGAGCTCGATGCGGGACTCGATCCTGGGACTCCAGGATCACGCCCTGGGCCGAAGGCGGGCACTAAACCGCTGAGCCACCCAGAGTCGTCTAGAAGTCAGGCTTACATAGAAAATTAGACAAACTGCAGTTCTCTGGAAGGATGTAAGACACTCGGGCAGGGACCACTCGGTGCCAGACGTGAGTGAGAAACAGTGCCGTGTGTCCAAACGACACCAAGTATGCTAGGAGTGTTGTGTGGCCTGAGGCTGCTCGCAGGTTGGAGGTCTGAACGCCGGAAAACCCAAAACTGGTCGACGGGTAGATTTTATCCAGACCCAGGAGCAGGTTCCCCCACCGCTCACGCAGTTGCTAATTGTGTTCGGATTTGTGGGTGGAGCAGCGAGCAGGCGCACGAAGAACAAGGCCCCAGACACATGCGCAGTGTGTAATCTCGAAGCCAAGAGGATGATGGTTGAGGGCAAGATCTTTCTGTTACCAAGACTTCCCTTGCTCGAATCCAGCAACCCTGGCTGTCCTCGTTTCTGGCCAGGGAATCTTACACGTCTTAGTGTAATCCCACTGTTCCTTCCGGGCCACTCCAGTAAGTCGGCTGCCAGTACTCAACATGGCGGCAGGCCCCCCTCAAGCGGCGCTATCCGCCGCAGGGCTCCCTGCTCGGGGGGCGGGGCCGCCGCCGGGGCGGGAGCCTGGGGGCGGGGCCTGGGCCGCGGGCGGGCGCTGGGCCCCCGCCCCCCGCCCCCGGCCGGGCCTTAGTGGCTGCGTCTCCCACTCCCGCGCCGAGGATCACGCTGGAAATCGCGGGAGTCGAGCGTGGTGAGGTGGGGCCTCAGGGGTAGGCGGGAGGTGCCCGGGTTAACGGTCCAAGGCCCAGAGGCCCGCCCGCCAAGGGCGCCTTAGGGAATCCCGTTGGAGCAGCGGCCTCCCGTTTCCCGGGAGGAACCCGAGGCCCAGAGACGGTCTGGGACCCATCCTCGGGATTCCCGCCGCTTGCCTCCGCGTCCAGCTGCGGCCACGGCGCTGGGCTCCAATCCGCGGAGAAAGGGAGCTTCCCGACCCTGGTACCCCAGGGCTGCCGAGTCCGGGAGTATCAGGAAAAGGCGCTGTGCTCTGCTGCGCGTCTCGCTCCCAGAATTTTGCGGCTCCCTCTGCCCTTGGGGCTTTGCACGTGATCTGTCCTAAAGCGCAGTCCCACCCGCCGCCCGGCTCGGGAGCTCGGGAACTCTTGGTTCTTCAAATGTCGCCTCCTTGGAAATCTTTCCCGACCGCTTTCTGCAAGCGCCGTTGCTCCCACTGCTCGGTTCTTTAACCCGTTGCACCGAGTGATTTTTCCTGTGGCTCTTGTACAGCCGTGCAGTTGGGCCGTTATGCCTTCCTTGCCTTTTTCGTCTCTATTATTATTCCAGGGTCCGGCACATGATGATAAATAATAATATATCCTAAACAGTCACGAAGCGTCCAGTGCTACTAAATGCATTACGTGGGAAGGCCCGCTTAATCCTCACAGTAATTTCATGAAGCGGGTTGTTACGTCTTCACATTTTATGCATGAAGAAACAGGCATCACAAGATCATTTTGCCTAGAGTTCCACAACTAATGAGTGGAGCTGGGCAGTGAATTCTAGGATGTCTGTTCCCAGAGCATGTGATAATTTCACAGACTGCCTTTGGGTTTGATAAATGTCTATTGGATTGTTTTTTACTTTAACCACACGCTTATGATGTGCATTTGATTGAGAAGGCTTGGAAAGGAGAATTGTTGTTCCCAAATTACATATAGAGTTCCTGACAAAACCGGCGCTAGAACCTACTGCCAGCCCTGTTTGTTCAGGCACACTCTACCTTTCTTTGCTCCTTTGCTGCCAGAGCTGCAGACCTAGACCTCATCACTTCACAGCCTTTAGGAAGTACCTCTCACAGAGATGTGATTTTGTACTTCATGATTTAGGAGGCACTTTAATGTAATAGATTAACCCTAGAGTTTGGAAGCAGATTAGGGTTACATGTTTGCTCAGCTACCGATCATTTATGTCTCTTCCATTTTTTGAGTCTGTTTTCTTATCTGCAAAATTACGACAATGATCTCAAAGGTTTTTTTGTGAAGATTGCAAATAATTGTTTTGGGAGTAAAGTGCTATATAAGCTACATGATCTGTTTCTTACCTTTTAGGAGGTTATAGAGCTTTCAGCATTTTGTAAGACCATTGGTGATGTGGATCATATTACCTAATGCCTTACATTCTTTCATTCAGTCAGTCAAATATTTAATGAGTAGCTGCTATATGCCAGGCACTGTTTTAGGAGCTGGGGATATAGCAGTCAATAAAACTATTCTTGCAAGTATTCTTAGAAGTATATTACACATAATAATCAGATAGGGACAGATAACACCAGTGTTTGTGGAGGGGTCATGGTACTTTATATTGAGTGGTTAGGGAGCAACTTTAACTGAGAAGGTGATGGTTGAACAGAGACCTGAAGGTGGTAAGGGAGCAAGCGAATCAAGATAACTAACTGGAAGAAGAGGCCCGAAAAGAGTGGGCAGTTTGGTGCGTTCCCAGACACAAGCAGCAAGGAAGGCTGTGTGACTGGAAAGGAGTAGGAAATGGAATTAAAATGATTGGGGGCTAGGATCAAATAATTAGGAGCCTGTAGGCCATGAGGATGATTTTGGTTTTTACTCTGAGTAGCCATGGAGGGTTCTGAGTTGCATAATCTGTCACTGTTTTAAAAGGATCACTCTGATTACTCTGTTGAGAAGGAACAAATTTTAGAAGCAAGGGTGGAAGAATCTCAGCTGTCTAGGGAGCTTTTGCAGTCATCTAAATGTATTCTCTATTGCTGGGAAAAATATCATCCCCAAATTTAGCAGCTTGAAATAGCAATTATTATCTCATACAGTTGTGGATTAGAAATCTAGGAGCAGGGTGAGTGGCACCTGGGTGGCTCAGTCCCTTAAGCGTCTGCTTTTGGCTCAGGTCACAATCCCAGGGTCCTGGGATGGAGTCCTGCATCAGGCTCACTGCTCAGTGGGGAGTCTGCTTCTCCCTCTCCTTCTGCCTGTCCCTGCTGCTTGTGCTCTCTCTCTCAAATAAATAAAATCTTCAAAAAAAAAAAAAAAAAAAATCTAGGGCAACCCCGGTGGCGCGCGGTTTAGCGCCACCTGCGGCCTGGGGTGTGATCCTGGAGACCCGGGACGGAGTCCCACATCCGGCTCCCTGCATGGAGCCTGCTTCTCCCTCTGTCTGTGTCTCTGTCTTTCTCTCTCTGAATAAATAAAAAATAAAATCTTAAAAAAAAATCTAAGAGTGAGGCACAGTCAGGTTAAACATCTGACTCTTGGTTTCAGCTCAGGTTGTGACCTCAAGGTTGTGGGATCTAGTCCCATGTCGGGCTCCACGCTTGGGATTCTCTCTCCTACCCCCTCTTCTCTTCCCGCTTATGCTCACTCTTTGTTTTTCAACATAAATAAGTCAACCTTAAAAAAAGAAGTCCAGGAGCAATTTAGCCAAGTGTTTCTGGCTTAGGATCTCTCAGGAGATGGCAGTCAAGTTGATGGCTGCTTTGCTCCCAAGATGTTTCCTTACTGCTAGACCTTTTCACAGGGCTGCCTGAATGTTCTTAGGACGTGGTAGAGGGAGTGAAAGAGAGAGGCTGTGGTGTCTTTTATGACCTTTTCTTGGAAGTCATTTCTACTTTATTCAGCTTCATTAACTTTATTCCAGTTCCTACTCCGGGAGAGAGAATTAGGCTCCGCCTCTTGAAGGAATAACAAAGAATTTGTGGGCATACCTTAAAGCCACCACCAGCAGAGAGAGTGGCTTGCCTCAGGATGGTGGTGGTGAGGGATTGAAAAGTGATACAATCTGGAAGAGCCAACAAGATTTGCCAGGAGATTGGTTACAGCGTGTGGGAGAATGGAGTACATAAGACCGCAGGCTTTGGGCTTGAGCAGCCAGAAGGATGGAATTGCCATTTACTGAAATGGGGAAGATTGGAGGAGCAGAAGTTCACTTTTGGACAGGTTAACTTTGAGGTGCCTGTTAGACGCCCATGTGGAGAAGATAAATAGGTGTCTGGTTTAGTCTAGGAGTGTGACTTTCTAGAGGGAAGTGTGGGCTGGGGAGGCAACATGGGGAGTCATGGTGTAAGTCATGAAACTGGATGAGGTTGCCCAGGAAATGAATGCAGATGGAGGCGAGGTCTGAAGCCTGAGCCCTAGGGCCTCCAACCTTATGGAGAAGATGAAAAACCAGCAAAGGAGACTAAAAGGAGAGGCTGGAGAGGTGGGAGGAGAAAAGAGAAAGGCCTCGCTTGGCAAATTTACAGAAGGGGCTACATACTAATTTTTTTTTTTTTTTTTGGTTCCCAAGTTTTATTCAGGAACTCATACAAAATATTCCAGATAAATGAGTTTTAATCCTCATCTTCCTCCTCTCCCTCCTCCTGGTTAATCTGGAAGTAACGCAACCAATCATGTAGATTATTCTCCTTCAAATATTTTTTGGTGGGATATTTCAAATACCTTTTGGAAAAAGTCCCCTCAGAAATTACAGTAATCTTGCTCTTGGTTACCACCCCTCCACTGAGATTCCCAGCTTTTCTATTCACTTTGATTCTCTCTTGAAGAAAGTGCTCAAAATTGGAGCCTCCATGATTCCATCTTTTACAGGGTGGGTGCAAGTAAAGGGTAAACCTCAGAACTCACCTCTTTTTTCTTAACCACCCCCTTGCCACAAGGTTTTTCACGGGTGCCATGGCATACTGGAGGCAGAAAACATGCAACATTTTTGTGTGTGGAATAAGAAACAGAAATTGTTTCTGCAGACAAATATATGTAGTTTCTTTGCTCAGGAAGTAAAATGTTGTGCCTTTCAAGCATTTTTTATTTTTTGCTTTAAGTGACAAATTCTATTTAATGATACTAGTCCCCATCCTAGTCCTTGCAGTATATATACCTCCAAGTCTAGGTGGTGTCATTTCTATATTAAACTTTATTTAAATACCCCTTTTGGAATTTCGGGTGAGGGGGACTAAACATAATGTATATCACTCTCTGTTACTTTCCCTCAGTTCAGAGGTTACTACCCTTCTGGTCTGGTTCCTAGCAAAAGGAGGTCGTCTTGTTCCTGTCTGTGACCGACTGCCAGGAACTGAGTTCCAATTCATGAGCATTTATGGGATAATTTAATTCATAAAAGATGAATGCATAAAAGAAGTGACTCTTTTTCCTTTTCCTGTCTATTCAGTGCTTTACAGTTTGCAAAGCACACTGACATCCATTATCTCACGTGAATGAGATCCAGTCTGTTACCATTTGCCAACTACTGACCTTTTCTTTGTCTGGGGGGATACTGAAACCTACCTGTCTTGGTACTCTGCTAGTTTGTTCTCTGGCAGATCTGACAGTGTTAATAAAACAGTGCTGAACTGCATCTTGAGAAAGCTCAGAACTAAATCTCAATTTCAGAAAGATCCCTGATGTAATTTTTCTGTTCATTCCCGCTTTAAAAAAAAAAATCTATTTATTTATTTATTTATTTATTTATTTATTTATTTATTTATTTATAACAGACACAGAGAGGCAGAGACATAGGCAGGAGAAGCAAGCTCCCTGAGAGGAGCCTGATATGGGACTTGATCCCAGGACCCCGAGATCACCATCTGAGCCAAAGGCAGACACTCAACTGCTGAGCCACCCAGGTGCCTCCACTCCCTAATGAATTTAAGTTTTATGGGGATTTTTTTTTGTTTTAATCCTAAAACACTTCAATTTTTTTTTAAAGATTTTATTTATTTATTCATGATATATATATATATATATATATATATATATATATATATAGAGAGAGAGAGAGAGAGAGAGAGAGAGAGAAACAGAGACACAGGCAGAGGGAGAAGCAGGCTCCATGCAAGGAGCCTGTTGTGGGACTCGATCCTGGGACTCTAGGATGACGCCTGGGGCCAAAGGCAGGCACTAAACTGCTGAGCCACCCAGGGATCCCACAAATCATTAAAAAATATATTTTATTTATTTATTCTTGAGAGACACAGAGAGAGACAGAGACATAGGCAGAGCAAGAAGTAGGCTCCCTGTGGGGAACCTGATGTGGGACTCCATCCCAGGACCACAGGATCACACCCTGAACTGAAGGCAGATGCTCAGCCACCCAGGTGCCCCTCAAATCATTTTTAAGATAAATTTTTTTAGAACAATTTTAGGTTTATGGAAAAATTGCATAATACAAAGAGTTCCCATATGCCCTGTACCCCATTTCCCCTATTAGTAACATCTTATGTTCATATGGTACATTTGCTACGGTTCCAAATCATTTTTTGAGGTAAATGGGGCATATAAACAAAACATAAAATAAAGTTACTGCATTTCTGGAGTCCTCAGTTTCCTTATCTGTAAAATGGGAGGATTGGACTAAATTTTTATTTTTTTAAATTTTGATTTATTATTATTTTTTAAAATACATTTAAAATTTTTTATTTATTCATGAAAGACACACAGAGAGAGATAGGCGGAGACATATGCAGAGGGAGAAGCAGACTCCATACGGGGAGCCCGATACAGAACTCAATCCTGGGACCCCAGGATCATGCCCTGAACCAAAGGCAGATGCTTAACCGCTGAGCCACCCAGGCATCCCTCAACTAAATTTTTAAATAGCTCTAAAATTTTTGAGTTATCAGTTGAAGTAAAATAATCATGTAATTCTGATATAATTCCACTTCTTTACTGAAGTATTACTATCACCTTCCCAAATAATGTATACATGTTAACAGCAGCCTTCTTTTTTTAAAAAAAAAAGATTTATTTATTTTAGAGAGAATGCACATGTGCGTAGGGGGAGAGGGAGAGAGAGAAAGGAAGCAGACTCCCCTTGGAGTCTGGAGTAGGACTTGGGGCTTGATCTCACGACCCATGAGATCATGACCTGAGCCAAAACCAAGAGTCACACAGTTAACTGATTGAGCCACCGAAGTACCCCTATGTGTTAAGAGCAGCCTTAGCCTCATCCTAAGAGATGGTTTAGTAAGAGAATTCTGGGGACTGTGGCAGAGCTGCCTGTAGAGATATAGGCTGAACTATATGACATTATCATTTTTGTAGGTTAAAGAATGGGCTAATATTGACAACTTTGTATTTGGTTCAACCAAATATCGAGGGGGTGAGGGGAGGAGGGAGGAGGAATTCAAAGGAGGAGGAGAGGCCTCTCAGACTCCCAGCACATACAAAAGCCCAGCCCAGCCCAGAGCAGCCCTAATAGTATTAGAGAAAAGGCCCATCAAGTCCCTTGAACCTTGAAGCAACTCAGAGCTGCTCTTGTTGCTGGCAGTGTTGGCAGCAAGAGTGGTTTCCCAGCAAGTTTGTGCCTCCTACTAGCAGAGAGAGACTGAGCCATCATTTAACAGAGACACAGTGTGAGCTGGTTGACACAGCCCTGGTGAAAAGAAAGAGCAGAAAAAGAAGATCTTTGGAGTGTGAGGGAAGACTACTCATTCAGGTTAGAGGCTAGGAAGAGGCAGTCTGCGGTGTTGGTGCCATTCTACTCTTCTTACTTGATGCAGTTTCCTTATGGTCTACTTCAAGCTCTACAAACTCAGCTGTCTTCTGTTGTCCAGGAGGTAATGTAAATTAGTAAACTGAGTTTTCTTCTGTAACTCCTATAAGAAAAGCAATAGCACAAGTTCAATGATCAATGACAACTAAAATCTGCTATCAGTGTGAGGGAGAGAATAGGCTGGGGCTGGGGGTTGGTGTGTTGGGGTAGAGACTGATAAACTAATGAGAATATGTCCTGTCTAAGGGGGAAGACACATATAACTGCAGCTGGTTGTTACCTTGTAGGAATACAGGTCACAGTTTGCTAGATACTCGGATTTTCCAAAAGAGCCAGAAATAATTGTTTTTTTAAGATTTATATATTTATTTATTTGAGAGAGAGAGAGAGCACTTGAGCATGAGTGGGAGGGTAGAAGGAGAGAATCTGAAGCAGAGTCCTTACTGAGTGCAGAGACAGACACAGGGCTCAATCCCATGACTCCTAGATCATGACCTCCGCTGAAACCTGAGTCAGACGAATGCTCCATCAACCCAGGCACCTCAGAAATAAGATTTTTTTTTTACATGCATTCTCCCAATGGTAAATGTTTGTACCTACTTTGAATTCTTAAAAGCTTGATATAGGCCACATAATGGCTGAAAAGAACCAGCAGGCCACACTTGTAACCTCTGCCAAGGATTTAGACTTGCCTGGAGTAGAGGCCTACATGGATTTCTTCAACCTACTAATGACCAAAATGAATTAGATAGCTTTTGCTTTTGAGGAATTTACAGATTAGTAGAGAAGATAGATAAATAATAATGATAAAATGTAATTTAGTGAAATGTAATTTAGACTATATATTATATATACAGTTAAATATATATAAATTTCTTATGTGTAATAATTTCATATACATAGCTAGAAAAGTGATTAACTCTTCCTGGGTATATCTGGGATGAGATGATAGGGGGTGGCATTTGAGCCAGGATGTAGGAAATCAACAGTTTGGTGCATTAAAGGGATTTGGGGCCTTGAAACTCCCACTGTACATGGAAATGTTAGATTTGCATTTGCTGTATATACCGCTTTCTTCAGATGTTTATACTGATGGGCTGCTGGCTGGACCAAGAGGGCATCTCTAATATTCTATTTTCTTGATAGGTAATTGGAAAAACAAATATTCCTTAACCCTTTTGGGGTTATGCCTCAGGGTTAATTAAATGAGAACTCTAACCTACCCACCTCCTCCCAGGTTATTGTGTGCTTTAGAGGCCTCAGAAACTCAGAGGTCACATGGCTGGTAGCCCTCATTTTTAGATAAGGGGCTGAAAGAGAAGTGGTATGTCTGAGATCACAGAACCCATTAGAGGCAGAGCTTGAACTGGCATTCCAAACTCTTCCTGACCACTGTGCTTTCCCCTCTCCTGGGGATCTCTCAAGGTCTCTGGTTAAGCTGGCGTCCCTGCTCTCCCCATCTCCCCTCCGCCCCTGTGGGTGACAGGTTGCCCTGATTTGGCCCAGCTTCTGCTGGGTGAGGAGGTTTACTATCCTGCTGAAGCTGATTGCTCATCCCCCACCCCCTCTCTCTTAATGGATCTCCTGCCTGAAATGCCTGCTACTCCATTTCTTTGTCAGAGAGTCAAACTTGCTTGTATTCAAATCCCTAATCAACCAAATGCCAATTGTATGAATTTGGGCAACTTTTGTTTAACCTTTCTAATTTCTTAACTGAGGTGTAACCTTTGTAAGCCTCAGTTTCTTCATCCATGTACAAACAGTTGTAGTATTACCTACACTGAAATGTGATAGAAAGGCATTGGAAGGTTTCAAGATTCTTGTGATGACAAAATGACATAGTGCAGGTAAAGCAGTTAACTGTGACTGACCTGTAGACAGGTCAAGGATTAATTATGACAGGATTAATTATGACAAAGATTAATTATGATGATGATGATTTGCACAGTTCACAGACCAGCAGGTTAGGTTTAATGCCCTTCCACTATTTTCTCTTACTGTTCTATACTGCTTCTGTTACGATTACATATACCACATTGTGTTGTGATTGTGTCCTTCTCCTCTGCTAGACTAGAAATACCTACAGGGATTCATCCCATAGATGTTTATTCGGCTCTCTGCCAGGCACTAGGGATGCAGTGGTAAACCAGGAGCTCTTGATCTAGTGCAGAGTCCCAGAAGGAAACATTGGTCCTGTGAGCTTGTCTAATGGTTCCCAATAGATTTGGGAGTGATATTTAGTTCTCACCCCACTTAGAGATTAGGGTCCATGTTAGTATTTTATTTATTTATTTATTTTAAAAGATTTTATGTATTCATTCATGAGAAGCACAGAGAGGAGAGAGAGAGGCAGAGACACAGGCAGAGAGAGAAGCAGGCTCCATGCAGGGAGCCCGACGTGGGACTCGATCCCGGTCTCCAGGATCACACCCTGGGCTGAAGGTGGCGCTAAACCGCTGAGCCACCAGGGCTGCCCCCATGTTAGTATTTTAAAGGCTCTGATGGGTCCTGTAATAAAGGAACCCACTTACTTTGTCCAACCCAGCTTTGCCAGACCTACTATTTGGTGAGTAAATTTGAATCACCTAGACATTCTTTTCAACTCCTCTGTGTGCTTTCGTCCCCAGCTCAAGAGGCACTCCACATGGCACAGCAATGATTAGAGACTTTACTAGGAGTGAGCAGCCTCTGGCCAGATAAGGGATTGTGAGCTTACCTGTTTGGTGCTCCCATGGAGACGGGAGGCCCTGGGTTGAACAATATGAAGCCCCAGTCACTGCAGTTGGTGCTGGAGGAGCAAGTACTAGCACTACAGCAGCAGATGGCAGAGAACCAAGCAGCCTCTTGGCGGAAGCTGAAGAACTCCCAGGAGGCCCAGCAGAGGCAAGCAACCCTCGTGAGGAAGCTGCAGGCCAAGGTGAGGCAGCTACCCTTGCAGGGAGGCAAAGAGAACACTGCCAAATGAATGCTGAGTGTAATGTGGGATAAGGGTTCTAGGAGACAGAACCATGTGGTGGGAATGTCCCTAAACAGCCTCTCCTGTGATGCTCACAACTACTCCATGAGAGGTATATCCTGTCGTTTTTAAAGATGGTGGTCACAAGGGCTAAATTAGTTGTCTGTGTTCTCCTAGGCTAGAGCTAGGACCTGGCCCTGTGTTTTCTGGTTCCAAAGCCAATAGGCACAGAGAGTATGTTTAACTGACCAAATAGAAATGACAAGATGTATGGCCTTACCCCACTGTTACCACCTAGACCCTGTTCACAGCAGATTTGCCCCAAATCCTCCAGGACCTTTGGTTTGGGCTTTTTATACCAGCCATGACCATCACCACATCCTGCTCTGTTTGCCTCAGGTGTTGCAGTACCGGACCTGGTGCCAAGAGCTGGAGAAGCAGCTGGAAGCCACTGGGGTGAGTGAGGCTGTTCTGTGTTCCCCCTGTGCCCTGAGTGAATATACCTGTAAGGACAGCCCTATTTGCTGACTGAGGGAGGTTGTGGTCTGATAAGGCGGTGTTCGGTGGAAGTCTGTCTTCAGCCCTTGAGAGCTTTATCACACAGATACTTTCGTTGGACTGGCTATTCCAGGCCTGTCAGACGCCAACCCTTGGCTCTCTAAGGACAAAATGCAGCTTCAGGAGATTTAATCAGACTGGAAAGGATATGGTATCAGAGGGAAGAAATGCATTTTTCCTCCAGAAGGTGTCAGTGTTTATCTGTCTTAGATGTGGACCTTTGCAGGCCTAAACTTGTTTGTGGTAGAGGGATTTACTTGTGCCATTGGCTGGGTAGAGCTGACTTTGAAAAAACCATTGCCTTTGTTCCAGCTCCCTCTCGCCACCTTCTCACATTACCCTCAGAAAAGTTCTCTCAGGAAGGAAAGAACCAAAACTTAGTGAGCACCATTCTATGTAGGCCAGGCACCATTAGACATTGTCAGATAATGATGTCACTCAATCCACAAGGCAACTTTTTTAGAGGGATGGTGTTTCCTTCATTTTGTAGTGAAGACTTTGTGGCTCAGAGAAGCTGAAAAACTTCCTGAGGTCAAAAATGTAGTGTAGTAGAAGTCAAGGCCATTAGTGAAAGCTGTATCTCATGCTTCTTGGGCTGAAAGCTCTTTTCACTACCAAATGCCATGTTTGAGCAGATGTCACAGGTTCACTCTGGGAGGAGGGGATGCCATGGATTTACCTTCAGGCTGTAGTGATTGAGAAAAGAGCATATTTGCTGACACAAGAGAGGAGGCGTGAAAAGAAAGCAGGTGGCTGCAGAAGGGAGCATCAGGGAATTGGTCTGAATGGTGTTCCCTTTGGAGGTCAATAAGGCTTTTTCTGTCTGGCTAAGGGACCGACTCCTCAGAGATGGGAAAGCGTGGAGGAGCCAGACCTGGAACAGCTGCTGGTCCGTTTGGAGGAGGAACAACAGAGGTGATGAACCCCAAGCTATCTGCCAGGGTGATGGTGGTGGCCCGGGGGTTGAGAAGGCTGAGGGCAAACCCCTGCCCTGAGTGCTAACGTGGCTAAAACCACAGACCTCAGCTTAGCCCTCCAGTTCCTGGTGATGGAAAATTCCAGTGTGTGTCATCTTACTCCACGAGGTCTAAGGTTGGATCAAGCCTTTATTTTGCACTTGGCTCCCGCCCCTCCCCAGTGCAGGTGTGAGAGTCTAGCAGAGGTGAACACCCAGCTTCGGCTGCACATGGAAAAAGCTGACATGGTGAATAAAGCACTTCGGGAAGATGTGGAAAACCTGACAGTGGACTGGAGCCGAGCCCGGGATGAGCTCAGGAGGAAGGAGAGCCAGTGGCAGATGGAGCAGGAGGTGGGAGGAACAGGGGGCTGGAACTTGGACAGGAGGCTTGCATGCTGGGCACCGCCCTCGTCGGTGCTGGGAAGGGTTAACTTCAGGACCTGCACAGAAGCTGAGCCGTTGCTAAAGTCCCTGACCCTCCTCCCCACGCAGGCAGGCAGCTTTGGGCAGCTTTGCCCTGCTTCAGCTCTCGCCTGACTTCTGTCCTTACCTGCCTAGTTGAGGTTTTGCTGGCAAGTGGTATGACACTCAGAGCAGCTCTGTCCCTGCATGTGTGGCTAGCTTTGCTTTTAGGAGGATCTGAAAGCTTGCTGACTTCCCTCTTCTGGAGGTCTGCATGTCTAGATGCTAAGGAGATAGCTGTTGAAACCAAATGGGGAAGAAAGACCAGACACAGACCTGGGTGGATTTTCAGATCCCAGCTAAAGGAAACTAATATTTCCTGAGCCTTTGCTGTGTGCCAGGTGCCATGCTTGGTGATTTACATGGTATGTCACTTAGTCCTCATTGTGAGTCTTTGGTGATAATGGCAGTGGCAGCTACTGTTTATCTTTTTCTGATCAGCTCAGAGGAAGGTCATATGCCATCATAAGCCCCTTCTTCCCTCCCCTGGGTTGTCAGGAGGAATCCAAGACTCCTATGCTGGCAAAAGGTGGTCCTCTGCCCTTTGATATGACCAGGGTTTCTGAATACACAGTTCTTCAAGGGCTACCTGAAAGGGGAGCACGGTCGCCTTCTTGGTCTGTGGCGGGAGGTGGTGACCTTCCGACGCCACTTCCTGGAGATGAAGTCAGCTACTGACAGGTAAGTGTGGGGATAGGAAGGGAGGTTTGCCCCTACCGATTCTAGATTTAATGACCATGGGCTGCTGTAGAAGCTGGGGATGGGGGTGGGGAGTAGAGAGGATGGAAGAGTGAGTGGGGAGGGATGATATTATTGGATTCAAAGGATTTTCCCCAGACCTGCTCCTCAGGGTTCACTGGGCCTGATCTCCAAGCTCCCTTCACCCATCCCTACTGGAGTCTGCTCTTTCCTTGCTTGTACTCAGAGATCTGACGGAGCTCAAGGCTGAGCATGTGAAGCTTTCAGGGTCCCTGTTGACATGTTGTCTGCGCTTGACTGTGGGCACCCAGTCTCGAGAGTCGGATGGATCTGGGAGACGGGATGGGAGTGAGCCAACCCAGCTGCTGCTACTACTGACCAAGACCCAGGAGCTGGAGAAGGAAGCGCATGAAAGGAGCCAGGAGCTAATACAGCTGAAGAGTCGGGGCGATCTGGAGAAGGCTGAGCTGCAGGATCAGTGAGATGGGTTGGGGTCCTGGGAAGGGGTTGCTGAGGGTGTTGACTCCCTTAGGGAGATAGAGCTGGCAGGGGGTAGGGGGCATGAAGAGCGTTCTCCCACCAGAGAGGAAGGAGAGGTGCCAGAGGGAGTCCAGTCTGGAACCCAGTGCCACAGGGGGGGCTGTGTCACCGCCCTCTGCAGTTCAGTTTCTCTCCTGTTGATTTATAGAGCTAGCTGTGACTATTGTCTCTCAACACCAAACTACTCCCATTCCCAGAACAGCCAAGCTATTCTATGCCTCTCTGCCTTGGTACATACTGACCTTAGCCTGGAATGCTTGCCTCCCTTCTGCCTCCACCTTATCCATTAAGGCATGGTTCTGAGAAGCCTTCTCTGACCTCAATAGCCTGTTAAATTTCTATGCCCAGGTGTGGTCTTTTGACCTGCTTGTTACAGCATTGCTCTCACTGTTTCTGGTTATTTAGCTTTTGTTGTTGATGTTAGGTTCTCCTATTTTTTTAGATTATGATAACATTTATTTTTTATTTTTATTTTTTAAATATTTATTTATTCTTGAGAGCACAGAGAGAGAGAGAGAGAAGCAGAGACACAGGCAGAGGGAGAAACAGGCCCCACTCAGGGAACCCGACACGGGACTCGATCCTGGGACTCCGGGATCACGCCCTGGGCCAAAGGCAGGCGCCAAACCGCTGAGCCACCCAGGCGTCCCTAAAATTTATTTATTTATTTATTTATTAAATTTATTTTTTAAAAAATAATAGTAAAAAGGGCAGGGACAGAAGTCAAGAGCCCCATTGAATTTCTGGACAGGTTTGGGCTTATACCCCATGGCTAGGTTTGTGTCACCACCTATTGACGGTGTATGTAAATAGCAGTTTGTTTTGGTTTTGGTTGCCTGGGTCCTGGAAAGGCAAGGACAGAGACTATGTCTTAGTGAGTCTATGTCTCTGGTGCTTTGCACTTCATTTGCAGTAGAGTAACATTCAGTGAATGTTTGTTGAAAGATACAATCTTTTTTTTTTAAACAAGTTTTACCATTTCTGGTCCTTATTCTTTTTTTTTTTTTAATTTTTATTTATTTATGATAGTCACACAGAGAGAGAGAGAGAGGCAGAGACATAGGCAGAGGGAGAAGCAGGCTCCATGCACCGGGAGCCTGACATGGGATTCGATCCCGGGTCTCCAGGATCGCGGCCTGGGCCAAAGACAGGCACTAAACCGCTGTGCCACCCAGGGTTCCCGAAAGACACAATCATTAAGTGAATGGCCATCCAATTAATGAAGGCTCCTAGAGGTGGTACAGAATAAAATTATTAAGACTTTGAAAAAAAAAAAAAGAATATTTACTCCTGGATAGCATTCATTTAAGAAATATTTATTTAGGGGCACTTGGCTGGCTCAGTTGGTAGAGCATGCAGCTCTGGATCTCGGGGTCCATGTGTTTGAGCCCCGGGCCAGGGGTAGAGATTACCTAAAAAAAAGAAAATCTTAGAAAAAGAAATATTTGTTTAACTACGCATATAATCCCAGATAATAAACTCCAAGATATAGCATTAAGTGACAAGAGTTGTATGATTTCCCTCAACCTTGAGGTTAGTATCACAGAGGTTGACTAAAATCTCCCCCAAACTGCCCCTCCGATTTCCTTATGAAGGACCCTAGGGCTGGAGGGACCTTGGGACTGTCCCATGTGGCAATTCTGATGTTCTTATTGGCTTCAGGGTGCTTGACTTCAAGATCAAGCGAGGCCTGGAAGGGCCTGGGCCAGGGCTTTCCCTCAGCTCTCGCGCCCCCAAACACGTGTTCCAGTCTTGAGATGTGGTAAATCCCTGCATGTGTCTGAGTGGCTTTTGACTCTCCCCTCCCCCTCACCCCCAGTTCAAGGCTATAGCATCGTGTGGCATCCAGGGAATGCAGGGGCTGGGGGTGCCCAGGTGGCTTCGGGGGGCTTTAGGGGGAGTGTCCATTGGGGCTGGGGTATGCTGCATATTAGCTCTGTCCACCATGGTGAGTCTCCTGGGTAACAGTGCTGTGCTCTTCTCTTCAGGGTGACGGAGCTCTCTGCTCTGCTGATCCAGGCTCGGAAGCAAAATGAAGAGTATGAGAAGATGTTAGGGGCCTTGAGAGAGACAGTGGAGATCCTGGTACATGACCCTTTGTTCTGGAAAGGACTTAGAAGTGGGCCTGTATGTTCCTTGTCCTCTATAGACAGATGATGCAGGAGACCAGTTAAATATTCCTTAATAATAACAAACAAACAAACAAAAAATAAATAAATTTTGGCTGAATCTGAAAAAGTAATTAACTCATTCAATTTATTCACTCATTGGTGAGTACTGTGTACCATGCCTACTATATTCCTGGGGAAATTACAATGATGTATGCATGCAGTGGGTCCTCATCAGAGAGAGTGGAACATACACTACAAGGCACAGTGGCAAAAGATGGGGACATGTGAGAGATTAAAAACCAAGAGCTGCTCAGTAGTTGACCAGTCTGTTCTGTGGAAGATTGAGGTTTGTGTCACGGGCTTCTCGGCTTCTCATCTGCCAGAGATACTATCAAAGGGACTCTCTAAGGTTATACTAGATAGAACCTCTGGCTTGATTCTACATTTCTTTTCATTGCTAAGAATTTTCAGATCTCTGTTTTTAGGCAGATCCTGAATGATGATCTGTGTACAAACCTCTAGTCTTATATGAGCTGGGATCGGCAGGGATTCAGAGTCATTTATGCCTTTTTTGGTTCCTTTTGGTCAGAAATTTGCAAATTCAGATGTCCGCAGTGCCCAGATAATGCCAAAGAGTGAGGTGGGTTCAGTTGTAAGGATTCTGGTTGTCCAGCATTATCATAGTTAGTTTTGAGGACAGAAGGGGACACTTGATCTCAATATTAAGGAAACGATGAGGTATAGTAGGGAATGCAGGAGGGTGAAGAGTATGTGTCTCACGTGGAGGAGGTGTTCAGCTTCAGGATATTACTGCCATGTAGCAATGGGGCCTGATATGGCCCATCTGTTAACTTTTTGAGGAAAGCCAGAAGGTCAGAATTTCTCAATTCATAAAACCTCTCAGAATCTCTCAATTTATAAATGTTGGCTCGAGTTTTGTACAGGCCCAAGAAAACATAGTTGCGGGTCTAGTCTTCAGACCTTCACTAACAGGATCAGAAGGAACTGAGGAAATCTTGAGTCTTCTTCAGATTCATTGCTAGCTCTGGGGCTAGGGGTTTCTCTGGACTAGCCTTAGGTCTCAAGCATCAATTTGCTGTTCAGAGACAGCTCCCATTCTTTCTTTTGTGATAGCTGACATGTATTGAGCATTTTCTTTGTGCCAGGCACTATGTTGAGTGATTTACATGCATCCTTTTCACTTAAGCCTCAACACAAACCTGTGAAGTAGTTGCTGTTAATTATTCCTATTTTAAAGAGAAAAGAAGCTCAAAGAAACAGTTGCCTATGGCTACCAAACTAGGAAGTGATTGAGTGAGAACTCTAATTGAGGCAGTCTAATTTAGAGCTCTGATTCACTTATTCTGAACTCTTAATCACCACATCACACTGTCCTCAGAGTCCTGGGACAACAGTAGCAGTCATATGTGGTCAAGGGAAAAAGTAGGGTTGACCACAGAGCCAGAATGAGATTCTGGTTGATTTGGGGGCTGAAATGGTAGATACTTCTGAGAGTTTTGCTCACAGCTCTGTCTTGTTCCCTGTTCAGGAGACAAATCATGCAGAATTAATGGAACATGAGGCATCTCTCAGTAAGAATGCCCAAGAGGAGAAGCTGTCTTTACAGCAGGTGATCAGGGATATAACCCAGGTACTGGTAAGCCTTCTGTTCGTGGGAACCGAGTTACGGCTCACTCCTCCCTAGGCCTCCGTGTTTCTTAGTCATGCCTAGATTTCCACTCTCTGAGATGTTTGGGCTTAGGGTCTTTGAGGAATGAGTTCTCTGAGTGTATCTGAAGACTGGTACCTTAAGGGGTAGCTAAGCATTCACATGCTAGCACTGCCTGCTGGAACAGGCAGGCCCTCCTTATCGCCAGCTGTACTTCTCAGGACAGGGGCTCTGGTCTTTGTTACATCAATATCTTCTTTCTTCATTTCTTCGTTTATTATTACCTCAGAATGCTCTAGCCTTGTTGCTAGTCCTAGGTTTGGGTGACAGAAGGTGAGGAGTTGGAGGAACCAATCCTTTTTTTTTTTTTTTTTTTAAGATTTTATTTACTCCTGAGAGACACACAGAGAGAGGCAGAGACATAGGCAGGGGGAGAAGCAGGCTCCTCCATGGGGAGACTGATGCAGGACTCCATCCCAGGACTCTAGGATCATGACCTGAGCCGAAGGCAGACGCTCAACCATTGAGCCACCCTGGTGCCCCAGGAACCAATCCTTTTTGCTCTTAGATACCCTCCTCTTATGTGCAAGGCAGAGGACCTGAGAAAGAAGACGTCAGGTTTGTCCAGGATGTAGTGTCAGTCTTCTATGTGGATTCTAGGCCTTCGTCAATAGGGTGGTGACTCTGCTGTGTTGGGTTTCAGGTCATGGTGGAAGAAGGGGACAGTATGACCCAAGGCTGTGGTCAAGACAGCTCCTTAGAATTGGACCCTAGTGGCCTCTCATCCCAGTTTGATTCCCAGGACCCAGACAAGGCCCTTACTCTGGTGCGTTCAGTGGTGACTCAAAGACGCCAGGCTGTGCAGGTGAGAAACCACCATTCCTCCTCAGACACGGGTGTGGGTGTCTGAACTGATGTGTGCCCCAGGTAACAACCTTGCCTGGACTGTCCCTTCCACTATGTCAACCAATCATGAGGTGTTTGGTCAGTACTCCCAAGGTGCCCATTAGAATCTCTCGGTGTCTGCCAAGTCATACTTGTGGCTAATGGGTACATTCTCTGTGCCCAATAGTACACCTCACTTTGCATGCTATCTTCATATAGCACTATGCAAAGATAGGCAACTGGAGCCCTCGGAGACCGTGAGTAAGCGTTGCCTGACTCTAAGGGTCCCAGCCAGACTTAGCCATTTCCGTGACGGCACCCCAATGCACGTCTAAAGATGATGGGCTCTGAGACTCTAGGAACCACAGAAGCCCAGTAATCTCTGATCCTCTGTCTCCTCAACTGGCCGCATCTCTATTCTCAGCTTACCCTTGTACCAGGCCTCGGCCCCTGGCCTAACCTCACTCTCAGGCTTCTGCCACCCTGTCTTTGCTCTGCCCTCTTGCTCACCATCTCCCTTTTGTCACCCTCCCTCCCCAGGACCTAAGGCAGCAGCTTTCGACCTGTCAGGAAGCTATGAGCTCTTTGCGGCAGCAGCATAATCAGTGGGAGGAGGAGGGTGAGGCCTTAAGACAGCGTCTGCAGAAGCTCACCGGGGAACGCGACACTCTGGCAGGGCAGACCTCGGACCTACAGGGAGAGGTGGAGTCTCTCAGCAAGTGAGCAGGGGGCTGTTCATCCCTCCCGGCTCAGTCCTCATCCAGCCATTTACTCACTCCTGGACATTTCTGGTTGCCTAACCCTGCCCTCCCTGCCACCCAGGGCTGTTCAGGGCCGTCTTGTGTTCTGCTTATTCCTGCTTACTCAGTTTTGGATCTTTGTGATGATAAACAACAAACAGGTTCCCGCTCAAAAGGGGAGATGAGATCTTTAAAAAGAAACAGACATCTCTCTCCTTTGATCCTATATCTGCTACTAGGAAGGATTTGAGGTTCCAGGGTTTTTGCTCATCTCTGGTCTCTTGTTTCAGGGAGCGAGAGCTCCTGCAGAAGACCAGGGAGGAGCTGCAGCAGCAGTTGGAGGTGCTGGAGCAGGAGGCATGGCGGCTGCGAAGGACAAACATGGAGCTTCAGTTGCAGGGGGATTCTGTTCAGGGTGAGAAGGAGGAGCAGCAGGAGGAGCTGCACCTGGCTGTCCGTGAAAGGGAGCGCCTGTAAGTGTGACTGGTCCCCTTCTGCCTGGGGCTTGATTTTCCCTTCATTTCTACACCCTCTTTCATCCACTCCCATCTCTTAGAAAGTAGAGTCAAAATTGAAGCTTGGCCTGTGGTGGGTTCACATTAGCTTACTGCTCCTTCTTTTGCAGAAGGATAAATATAGAAAGTTCACCCAGGCTTTTCTGAGCACCCCTAGGGGCTGAGACACTGCAGGGGCACAGAAACAAATAAGACACAGGCCTTGATCGCCAGCAGTTCGCAGTCTAATGTTCAAGTAAACAATGAACTGTGGCATGAGGCCAAATGAAGTATGAGTGAAACAGAGCTTCAGACTGGGTCCTTTGGAAGCCTGGGAGTGACAGTTAATAATTGAAAGCCTCACAGAGGAGAGGCCTTTGAGCTGGGCCTTGACATATTTTGATTGGTAGAGAGTGGGAGAGGGGCAAAAGGGACAGATTAGCAAAGAAAAGGATGCAGGTTCATGGCATGTTCGGAGTAGGCCAGGCTGGGTGAAGGGTAGGATTTACCCCAGGTAATAATGGGAAATGAACTGGCTAAGAAAGGGAATTCTAGAATCAAGAGACGTAGCAAATTTATAAATTCTTCTGTTGTAATATCATAGAAAAAGCAAGGACTTTCAAGCTGGCAAAAGTTTGGTTAAAATTATGGCTCCAGGGGGATCCCTGGGTGGCTCAGCAGTTTGGCGCCTGCCTTTGGCCCAGGGCGCGATCCTGGAGTCTCAGGATCGAGTCCCGCGTCAGGCTCCCGACATGGAGCCTGCTTCTCCCTCCTCCTGTGTCTCTGCCTCTCTCTCTCTCTCTCTATGTCTATCATAAATAAATAAATTAAAAAATAAATAAATAAAACATAAAAAAAATAAAATTATGGCTCCACCATTTGAGCAGATTACTTTATTTGTAAAATAGGGATGATAGTATTTACCTTGAAGGATCACCAGGAAGAATAGAGCACCATTTTGTGAAATGCTGGCACAGAGCCTGGCAGATGGTGGGTCTTCAGTAACTGGTATCAGGGACTGTATTCTTCACCTCCATATATCCCCCTCCTCTCCTGTGCTCTAGTTCCTTGCAGCCGGTAGGCACGAATAATAGAATCTTGAAGGACTGCTATAAGAATCATGACTCCTACAAAGAATGGTCTCTCCTATACCTTTAGAAGAATAGACAATCCACAAAGATTGTAATGTTGTGGTTTTTTTTTTTTTTGTAAAGATTTTATTTATTCATGAGAGACACAGAGAGGCAGAGAGAGAGGCAGAGACATAGACAGAGAGAGAAGCAGCCTCCATGCAGGGAGCCCGAAGTGGGACTCGATCCCAGGACTCCAGGATCACACCCTGGGCCAAAGGCAGGCATTCAACCACTGAGCCACCCAGGCATCCCGATAGTTATGTTTTTAAATTTAATTAGTGTGATTCAGTAATACATTTATCAATATTTATTATGATCTGAAAGTCAAAACTATTTAAAAAGACAAACAGAGGCACCTGGTTGGCTCATTTGGTTAAAGCTCCTGATTCTTGATTTTGGCTCAGGTCATGATCTCAAGGTCGTGAGATCGACCCCTGTGTTAAGCTCCTTGCTGGGCGTGGAGCCTGCTTAAGACTCTCTCTTCCTCCCCCTCTGCCCTACCTCTCCCTTTCTCTCTTAAAAAAAAAAAAAAAGACAAACACAGAGATCCTCCTCTCTGCTTCATCCACCTTATTTCCCTTCCTTCTGTAGCCAACCACTTAAATTGCTTTCTTGTTTATCTTTCCAGCTGCTTTATGCAAATATATACATGTAATCTTTTTTTTTTCATGTAATCTTTTTTTAACTAAATTTTATTTTATTTTTTTAAGTAGGCTCCACACCCAACATCGGGTTTGAACTCATGACCCTGAGATTAAGAGTTGCATGCTCTACTGCCTGAGCTGGCCAGGCACCCCTATGCATATTCTTATTTCTCCCAAATATTTTGCTTTTTTCGCTTTACATGTCATGGAGGTCTTAACAGTTTTTAGAGACCTTCTTCCTTCTTTTGCATAGCAAAGGTAATTCGACTCCTATTACCTTTTCGGGTGTGGCTACTCCCTGAGATTGCCCCCAGCCTCCTCTCCTTTCCATCTTAGTCAGGAGACACTAGCAGGTCTGGAAGCCAAACAGTCAGAATCACTCAGTGAACTGATCATTCTTCGGGAAGCCCTGGAGTCTTGTCACCTGGAAGGGGAGCTGCTGAGGCAAGAGCAAACAGAAGTGACTGCGGCGCTGGCCAGGGTGCGTGGGCCTCCATTCCTTGTTTGCTAAGTGGGGTGTATGGCTTAGAAAGTTGTGTTTGTAGGCAAAGGACATGCAGTCTGCCTCGTTCTTCATCCTTTAAGCCATGACCTTCCATATTCCCTGCGTCCCTTACTAGCCTCTGCTTTTGGGTTCTGTCCCTTCCAATGTACTCTCTATGTTGACCTTAGAATGGTTTTCAAAGGTATAAATCCAGTTACGTTGGTCTCCCTCCTGTAACCCATTCAGTTGCTTTGCAACTGCTTGGTGACACATTCAAAGCCCCTCCGCATGTGCCCCAAACTATTTCTAGCTCCTCCTGTCTCCATATCCTGTCCTAACTCCCCATCCACCTTGACTCCTGCCACACAGCACTAATTATAGCCTCAGCTTCACCTGCTTTTTTATGACTCCACTGTTTTTCGTGTACTCTTCCCTTTGCCTAGATTGCTTCTTTCCTCTCCCTCTAACCACATACTATTCTTCACCTCTCAATACCTACCTTCATTACCAGTTCTTCTCCCAAGCACTTCTGACTCCCCAAAACTGAATGAGTTTCCAGAGCACTTTGTGCCTACATTGTCTATGAAGCTATCGTAATTATGGTTGTTTGTACATCTCGGTGTCTGTCTGGCCCTCTATACTGCGAGCTCCTTTCTTCTTGATGTTTGAATGATTGATTGAATGAATGAATGAAGGGAAAACTTGTTTAGAATATAAGGGAAGGAACGGAGCGTTACCTGATCTCTGTACCAGGACAGCAGCAGGTGGCAGGGATGTGAGCTTCTCACTGTGGCAGGAAAGCTGGTACAAGGAAGCCCTTTAACTCTCTTTGTTTTTAGGCAGAACAGTCAGTTGCAGACCTGTCGAGTTCTGAAAACAGCCTGAAGGCCGAGGTTGCTGATCTTCGGGCTGCAACCATCAAGCTCAGCGCCTTAAATGAGGCTTTGGCCTTGGATAAGGTTGGACTGAACCAGCAGCTTCTCCAGGTGAGCAAAGATTTCTCTGACCCACAGAGTAGTTCTGGGCCCTGATAGAAGGCAAGCCAGTGACTGATAAAGCTGATGCCCTTGACAGGGGAGAGTTTGTAATGGATCAGTGCAAGACGGATCAGCTCCTGTCCTGAAATGAGCCAAAGGAACATTGGTGGTGCAGAGGACAGCTAAGACTATAAGGCCTGGGTTTAGCCATTGAAAATAGTCCCCTTTCACTCCTATAGCAGAACCACCTTTGGGCTGTAGGGTAAAATCACCAGGGCCAGGAAGAAGACCCATGTCCTCTGGAAGGAAGACTAGGTGTTTAATTCCATCGCATGGGATAGCAGTAATCACCAGAAAAGAATCTGCCAAAGAGCCTACATCTCAAAGAATCTTCTCTATAGGTTGCAAATTTAACATGTTTCTTCACCACCCATTACCTTAAGCCCTAGAAATGTCCCGGATTTCCTTTATTCTGAATTCTATGAGAGTAGAGTTTTGCCTTTTTAATTGCCATCCCCAGCATCAACCCATCTAGTACCTGAAATACAGCGCCAGAGCAAATGAATGTGTAGCCCCCTCTCATAAAAGCCCTCCTGTGTTCCTCATTGGAGAATAGATTCACATCCCACTGGGATTTCTGTCTTAGCACTTGATCTAAAAACTGTAACCATTTGCCTTTGATGCCTTTCCCATTTTGGCCAGTAGTTAGAACAAGAGAACCAGTCTGTGTGCCACAGAATGGAAGCAGCAGAACAGGCAAGAAACGCTTTGCAGTTGGACCTGGCAGAGGCCGAGAGGAGCAGGGAAGCCCTACAGGAAAAGAACACTCACCTGGAGGCACAGCTGCAGAAGGCAGAGGAGAGGGGGGCTGAGCTGCAGGCAGATCTCAGGACCATCCAAGATGAGAAGGAAGAAATTCAAGAGAAACTAAGCGAGGTAAGAAGATAAAACTAATACCATCACATTAAGGTATCGTGTGTATTCATCATAAAAAATGAAAATTCTACAGAAATGATTCAGAAAGTGAAGAGGTCTTAACTTCCTAAAAATGACCAGTGTTACTAGTTTGGGGTACATCTTCCAGTTTTTCAAGAGAATTCCTGTAAGAATCCTTCAGGTTCCCTACTACTTCACACCCTCCACTTTAAATTAGATGCCTCTTCTGGTTGCTCTGACAGCACCTCCTGCATATTCCAACTGCCACACCACACACAACTCACACTGTATTGTGATTATCCATTTATAGTCTCCACCACTAGACCAAAAGGTCTGGAAGGCAAGGCTGTGTCTTACTTGTTTTTATTCTTTCTTTCTTTCTTTCTTTCTTTCTTTCTTTCTTTCTTTCTTTCTTTCTTTCTTTCTTTTAATATTTATGTATTTATTTGAGAGAGAGAGAACACACAAGCGTGTTGAGAAGGGGGATAGGGAGAGGGAGAGAGACACTTAAACAGACTCCACGCTGAATATGGAGCCAATGTAGGGCTTGATCTCACAACCCTGAGATCAGGACCTGAGGCGAAACCAAGAGTCAGATGCTTAACTAACTGCGCCCCCTGGGCCCCCTATTCCTTTATCTGTTAGTACAATGTTTAACACATAGAGCGACTTAGTAAATTTTTTCTGAACCAATGACTCAGCTCGACGGGCCTCTTTCTCCTCTACCAAACTTCCCACTGCCCTAAAAATGATACATAATCTTCCTTCCCAGAGTCCCTTTCTCAGAGACTGATCGCTTTCTTCCTGATGTTATGTCTATCTGTTATATGTTTTTGCTTAAAACTAAAAGCTCCTTAGAGGTAGTTTCTTGCAGCCCTAACACAGGGTCTTGCACAAAGGAGAGCCATCCTTCCTGGGTTGGGAGTTCTATGGGTTGATGCAGGAAGTAGTATTTGTATGAGTGGGCAATGCTCAGGACTCACAGAGCTGGGCCCAGAATCTCTGAAGGGCCTGTGACCCCAACCTGGCGATAGCAGCCTCTGTCTGTTATAGATTTCTTCCTCTCAGGCACGTCATCAACAGGAGGCAGCCTTAGCTCAGCTGGATCAGCTGCGTCAGGAGACAAAGCGACAGGAAGAAGTGCTTGCTCGAGAAGTCCAGGAGAAGGAGGCCCTAGTACGGGAGAGAGCAGCCCTAGAGGTGCGGCTGCAGGCAGTGGAGCGAGACCGGCAAGACCTCGCTGAACAACTACTGGGCCTCAGGTAGGGCTCAGACCCAGTTCAGCCAAGGGCAGAGAGAGCTTTGCAAAGCAAGGGGTAGCCAAACTAAGTTCCCTGCCCAAAGTATATGGGTCCCAAATGAATTAGGAATTTATAATTGCTCCTTAATTTCTCCGGGTAGTCAGTATGTCAAACCCAAGTCCTCTTAAGGAAGGTTAAGGGACTTGATGGATAAGAACTCTTCCTGATTCTTGAACCTGACAGCTCAGCCAAGGAGCAACTGGAGAGCACTCTGTTTGAGGCCCAACAACAAAATTCTCTGGTAGAGGTCACGAAGGGACAGCTGGAGGTCCAGATTCAAACTGTCATTCGAGCCAAGGAAGTAATTCAAGGTGAGACCCCAACTGGGGTGGGGGGCACTTCATTCTTTGGGGATGGTCCAGATTCAAACTGTCATTTGAGCCAAGGAAGTAATTCAAGGTGAGACCCCCAACTGGGGTGGGGGGCTCTTCATTCCTTAGAGATTTTGAAAACTAGGAAGGCAGTGGGAAGTTATCACACATCCTTCTCCAGCCAGGCCCAGGGCCTCCGTGATGGAAGTTGCTCATGAGGTCTGGGGAGAGGGGTGAAAGAAAGGGCAGATGCCTGGTGAGAGATCACCTGTCACTGGCACCTTAGGGGAAGTGAGGTGCCTGAAGCTGGAACTGGACAATGAGCGGAACCGGGCAGAACAAGAGCGGGAGACAGCAGCCAGACGGCTGGCCCAGGCCGAGCAAGAGGGGCAGACTGCCCTGCAGCAGCAGAAGTCAGCCCACGAAGAGGAGGTGAACCGGCTCCAGGAGAAATGGGTACGTCTTGGATGTGGCTGGGGACAGGAGAGGCACACATGGCCTCCCTTCAGTGAGTATTCCACCTGCTGGCTCTTGGGCCAAATATTGCTGCTTATAAAGGTGAAATCTGAATAGAACTAACCTGGCCACCAAGGTGCAAAATCCAGTTTCTAGCTGTTAAGTGAGTAATATATGGAGAACACCGAGAACAATTCCTGACATATAGTAAACTCTCTATTTGTGTTAGCTGTTAGTGTTGTTTTGGTGTGTACAGAGAATTAAGCATGGGTTCTGGGACATAGGGTTGTTAAACTGGCCCCAGGCTGTAAAGGAGCAGAGGAATGTCTTGGACCCTTTCTTGGCTAGATATTCTTGCTGTTTCCTTCTGTGGGATTTTTTTGTTTTGTTTTCTCTCTTCCTTTCTCTCCTTTTTTCTTCCCCATTTCTCTCCTCTTTTCTCCCCCCGCCCCAGGTTTATCTTTCTATTGAGGGCACTCTAGCCCAGGGCTTTTGGTAAAGGGCCACCACGTACTAAGCTTTGTGGACCTTATGGTTTCTGTCATAATTACTCACCTCTGTTGTTGTAGTACAAAAGCAGCCATAGATAATATGTAAACACTCTCTGTGTGTTTGTATGACTATCATAAAAAAAAAGATAATATGTAAACAAATGAACATTCTGTGTTCATAAGTGTAGCACTGAAATTTGAACTTCATCTAATTTTCACATGTTACAAATTTTTTTTTTTAATTTCTTTTCAACCATTAAAAATGTAAAAACCGGGATGCCTGGGTAGCTCAGTGGTTTAGCACCTGCCTTTGGCCCAGGGCATGATCCTGGGGTCCTGGGATCGAGTCCCACATCAGGTTCCCTGCATGGGGCCTGCTTCTCCCTCTCCCTATGTCTCTGCCTCTCTCTGTGTGTGTCTCTCATGAATAAATAAATAAAACCTTTAAAAATAAATAAATAAATAAATAAATAAATAAATAAATAAATAAATAAATAATAAAAATGTAAAAACCATTATTAGGTCACAGGCCATATAGCAGCAGAAGGATGGACAGATTTGGCCCACATGCCATATTTTGTTGACTCCCGGTTAGCCCTTTGGAGGTCCAGCTTTATATGGGAATCTTCTATTGACTCCCTACCCTTGTCTTCTGTTTTCTTTTCTCCACATAGCATTAAAATGAATTTCAAGGCTATTAGGTATAGTAAATGCCTCCAGTGGAAAGCCAGTTCTGTGCTGATTTACCTCTTTGGATCCCAAGTCTTGCTTTGATTTTTGACTCCTATGAAATTATGGCTGGCTCACTTACACATTAAAACATTAGATTTAAGGGATGCCTGGGTGGCTCAGCGGTTGAGCATCTGCCTTTGGCTGGGGTTGTGATCCCATGATCTTGGGATTGAGTCCCACACTGGGCTCCCTGCATGGAGCCTGCTTCTCCCTCTGCCTCTCTCCCTCTCTGTGTCTCTCATGAATAAATAAATAAAATCTAGGAAAAAAACCCCATAGATTTAATATTTTATCCAAGATGTTTTGCCATTTCGTGGGTGGAGGGGGTTAGAGATCATATTTGTCAGGTTTCTGGAAATGGAAGTTGACTTGTGCTTTGTGTGTATTTGTGATTTGACTCTTATTACAAGGCAGACTTGCTGGCAAGATGACAGACGTTTGCTGGTTTTGGGAATTATGTGCCTAAAGTAGGTAACTGAATTATTTGTTGAATGGTGTCCAGAAGGCACTTTGCCCAGCAAGAATCAGGTGTACCCTCTAAGGAAAACCCTACAAGTGAAAGATGCAATAAAGTTTCTGAATGATGAGTTACCACTTGACAAAGGCTTCTCTGAAAGGATTGACTATCTCATGGCCATACCTGAGTCATGGGAGGGCCTCTTCCATCTTTTCTTTTCCTCATTCAGATAATCCCCCTGAATTCTGATTGTCTGACTTTATAATCTCCCTACTAATTAAAAAAGGTTGACTACTCTCTTGACTTTTGAGAGTCTATTTGTTTTATTTATTTATTGTTTTTTAAGTAAGCTCTATACCCAATGTCGAGCTTGAACTCACGACCCTGAGGTCAAGAATCAAACGCTGTATTGACTGAACCAGCCAGGCCACCCCAAGAATCTGTTAATTTTAACTGTGACTTGCTTCTCCTGGAATCCTAGCAATTGGAAAAACTTTTAGAAGCTATAGTCTTCACATTCTTCCACCTGGTGCCTGGACCCACTTTAATTCTAGTGATAGTGGGCACTTATTAATCACTTGCCCATGCCAAGTGCCATGCTAAATGCTACTTATATTATTTCAAATAGCCTACCTATGACTGGTAAGGAAATTGAAACTTCAAGAAGTCACTCAGGGTCACATTGCTAATAAACAGTAGAGCAGGGATTAAGCATCTTTTAACCATTCGTGCTGTGGTCAGTGGTTGCTTAGCTTCAGTTGTATTCTGCCAGTGGCTGCTCATTTATTTTTATAGATCTAGTTATTGGAAAATTATTCCTTATATTGAGCCAAAATCTATTCATGTGAAACAAATCAGTGTTAGGTTTGCGTGAAATCCCTTACCAACACGGTTGCTCTCCTCTAGACATGTTACCCATTACTCATGACCCAGTGTGCAGAATATTCTGATCCACAGCCTAGCTGGCAACCCTAGACTATTACTTCCTGGACATCACAGAATTGGCTCTTCCAGTAGCCATACACACTTGTAACTCAAATTGAGCAAATAGGTCAGTTTTGTGTTTGTTTGTTTTTTTTAACACTTACTACTATTAAAATCCATCTTTCCCATATTTCCCATATTTTTACAGCTGGCTTTTTGAATCAGAGGGTAAGATTTGATATTCATAGTTGTTCTATAATTGTAGCATTATAAATTGCTGTTCTTAGGCATCTTAACAGTGCAGTAGCTGAAACGTGATTCATTCATGCGTTGTGGAGTATTCATTATGTGCTGGCACAGTGGTGGGACCTGAGGATACAGTGGGAGCAAAGTAGATGTGGTTCTCCTTATGGAGCTTAAGGCCTCAAAGGGAAGACAAGTATTAAACAAGTTAATATGCAAATAAGTAAGGGATGATGTAAGATCTAAGTAGACAAAGAACTGGGTGTTACAAAAGGAACAAGGAGACCTGTTGCGAATGTGTGGTCTGGGAAGGCCTCTCTGAGCAAACATTATTTAGGCTGTGAGGAACAGTGGTGTCGGGGGCAGGCAAGGGCATTCCAGGGAGATGGAGAGCAGGAGCAAAGGCCTTAAGGTATGAGGGTGTGTAGTGTGCCCGAGGTCCTGAAAGGAGGCCAGTGTGGCCAGGGGGGGGGGGGCACTGCACGAGATGATGTTGGGAAGGAGTGAAACCCAAGGAGCATTCCCATGAAATGAATGTATAACTTGAGCTTGGACACATTTTAAAGGAAAGGTTCTGGGAACTGCTAACGTGATGAATCATGTCGACAGGTGTTAAATATGGAGTGCTTTCCATGTACTTAAGATGCTCTACTGACTTATCTCAATCCTCAGAGCAACCTGAATTGCTCTCACTGTATTTATAGATGAGGAAACTGAAGCACAGAAATGTGATTGACATTAACTAAAGTCGCTCAACAGTAGTGACCATAATCCGGAGGCACCTGGAGGTCTCACACAGTTGAGCATCTACCTTAGGCTCAAGTCATGATCCCTGAGTCCTGGGATCAAGCCCCAAATCAAGGCTTCCTGCTCACCAGGGAGTCTGCTTCTCCCTCTCCCTCTTCCTATCTCTCTGCCTACTTGTGTTCTCTATCAAATAAATACATAAAATCTTTAAAAAAAAAAAAAAAGAAGACCATAACCCAGGCAGCTGGGTTCGAGAGCCCTTCACTACTATCTTGGGAACTAGGAGAGGATCCTGGGTTAGTCTAGGGGATCAAGTAAGACTTTGGTCACTGGTGGACCTCTGGAAGGACCAGGATGCCCTGTTCTAAAGCTCTTGTATGGCAGGAGACATCCTAACAAGGCTCAACCTGACTTTTCAGGAGGCTTATCCACCACCCTGAACAGGGGGAGTGGGCAACAGAGAACTAATCTGTCTCCTCAGTTCATGGTTATAACCATCAACCGTGGTGTGGTTGGTTTAAAATAACAGATATTTATAGGTTATATTAGGGACAGTTGCACTTTAGAAAACACGTTTTCATGTATTGTATCACTTGGGTTTTTAAATCTCATTTGATTCTCCTAAAATTTAATAAGATAGATAAGGCAGGAGTTAGCAACCTCACTTTATCGAGGGGGAGACCAGCAGAGGGAGAGATACCAAAGACGCTCAGCTGGGGAGGGCGGACCTCCACTCCAGCCCTCCCCCTGCCTCTTCTCCTCACCCACTGTGTTCTAACCCTGCTTCCCTCACATGACCAGGAGAAGGAGCGCTCTTGGCACCAGCAGGAACTGGATAAGGCCCTGGAGAGCCTAGAGAAGGAGAAAATGGAGCTGGAAACGAGGCTGAGGGAACAGCAGGCAGAAGCCGAGGCCATCCGGACACAGAGGGAGGAAGAACGGGCGGAGGCAGAGAATGCCCTCTGCCAGGTGGGAAGCTGGGGAGATTGGAGCTGTGATCCCCCTCCTTCTGACCACTTCCTTTTCTACTCCCAAGAGTGCTGCCACAGGGGGCTTCCAGACGAGAAGTACCTGTTCACTTTGCTGCTCGTGAGCAGGGTGACCAGTGCTGTTAGCTGCAGGACCAACAGTGTATCACACTTCCTGAGGGAGGGCCGATGTTCACCACATCCTGTCAGCTTGCAAACCAGTGACAATCTTTGCACTTCCTGGTTCCTGACAAGCAGGTCCAGACCTTCTTTGGCCCTCAGCCCCCTCCCCATTTGCTGGATGAGGCCCAGAGTAGCTGGGATGTGTTTCTGGCCCAGCAGATGAGCATGATGACCCCTGATGTAGCAAGCCCTTGGCTTCCTGCCCCTCTGCAGATGCAGCTCGAAACAGAGAAGGAGAGAGTGTCCCTCCTGGAGACCCTGCTGCAGACCCAGAAGGAGCTGGCAGATGCCAGCCAACAACTAGAGCGGCTGAGGCAGGACATGAAGGTCCAGAAGTTAAAGGAGCAGGTATGGAGAGTGGATCTGGGTGGGGAAGAAAGGTGGCATCGACATGCTCCTTTGGCATGGACCAGTTCTATGGTGCTTTTTTGTTTGAGGTCCTGGGCATGGTGCTGTCACAGCAGGTGGCATGACATACACAGTCCCTGTCCTCAAAGAGCTCGAGTTCTAGTGGCAGAGCAGACGAAAATGAGCAGATAGAGATAAATGAGATAATTGTGGGTCCTAATAAATGCTGTAAGGGAAATGGTTAGGGTGAAGTAATTGAGAGGGATTCACCAGAGGCCACTTTGAACAAGGTGGTTCAAAAGGGGTAGGGCTCACCGAGAAAGTGGCATTTGAGCTGAAGCATGAAGGTTGAAAATAGGCCAGCCCCAGGCAACAGTAGGGACAGACCCTGAAAGCATTATGCTGAGTGTAAGAAGCCAGTCACAAGAGGCCACACAGCACATGGTTCCATATGTAGGAAATGTCCCAAATAGGCAAATCTACAGAGGCAGCAGATGAGTAGTTGGGAGAGAAGATGGGAATAGGGAGGGTACAGGCTTGTTTTCTTGGGTGATAACAGTATTCTAAAATGTGGTGCCCGTTGTCCAACTCCGAATATTCTAAAAACCATCGATATGGTTAACCATTATATACCTAAATGGGTGAATTATATATGTGAACTATATCTCAATACCGGGATCCCTGGGTGGCGCAGCGGTTTGGCGCCTGCCTTTGGCCCAGGGCGCGATCCTGGAGACCCGGGATCGAATCCCACATCAGGGTCCCGGTGCATGGAGCCTGCTTCTCCGTCTGCCTGTGTCTCTGCCTCTCTCTCTCTGTGACTATCATAAAAAAAAAAAAAAAAAAAAAGCCCATTTATTTATTTATTTATTTATTTAAGAATTTATGTATTTTAGAGAGAGAGCTTGAGCAGGGGGTGCAGAGAGAGAGGGAGAAGCAGGCTCCCTGCCCAGCTGGGACCCTGCTAGATCCCAGGACCCTGAGATCATGACCTGAGCTGTCCAGGCACCCCTCGGTAAAGCCTTTAAAAAAAAAAAGCCAGCTATTTGAAGAATAGTTTCAGCAAGGGAAATAGCCATCATAAGGGCAGTGAGAGACAGGGGCTTGAGGAGTGCCAGGACAGAAAGGAAGCCATGTGACTCCAGCATGATAGGGTCAGGGGCAAGTGAAGAGATAGACAGGAGCCCAGGAGCTCTTGGTCAGCCATGCTAGGAGCTTGGAATTTGTTCTAAGGGCAGTGGGAAACTGTTGGATGGTACTTTAAAAAATACTTTAGCTGCTTTGTGGAGGGGTGTGTGTGTGTGTGTGTGTGTGTGTGCGCGCGCGCGCGCGCGCATGCATGTGCGCAAGTGGTGGTGACATGAAGTGGTTGTAGGGATACGCAATAGAAGCCTGCAGCAGTGGTCCGGGTGAGGGACTGCTACCAACTCGGGTGCTGACAGAGAAAGCCAGGGTGAGTCAGCACGCTTTGTGAGGGAGGAAAGGGAGCAGGAGGTAAGGGTTGAGGTGGCATGGTAAAAAGAGTGTGGATTGCTGGGTCCTGCCTCCGCTTTTGCCAATCCAATTGAAAACCCAGTATCTGTATGACATAGATTGTAAGACATGAGCCCCAGTGGGAGCTTTCTTCTGCTCATTGTGGTCTTCTCCTTTTGCAGGAGACCACTCAGATCCTGCAGACCCAGCTCCGGGAGGCTCGGGGGGAGCTGGAGCAGGTAGCCCAGCAGAACAGAGATGACCTTGTTGCTGTCCAAGAAGAGTGCGGGGCCCTGCTGCAGGCGAAGATGGACCTGCAGAAGCGGGTGCCTCCTTCTCTCTCCCAGTCCTGCAACCCTTCCCCAGCATAGCCTGGCTCTTCCCCTCCTTCTGCTTGGGAAGGAGTGGAAAACAGAAGGGTGCTTACAGCTGAGCCCGTGCCCTTGCAGCCCTGAGATAGTCATCTCTCCCTGTGGCAACCACAGAACTTAGATTTTCTCAGGCGGTCGTTCTTCCCACCCTCCCCCAGAGATCAGATATTTTAAAATATCATGTTGCTTTTCCTACTCTGATTGCTTTTCCTTTTCAGAATCGTTTATCAGTTGGTGTTCTCATTGTTTATTTTAAAAAAAATACAATCACTATACACTTGCCTATCACTTATCACTTGGCCTTTGGGTGATTCTATTCAGCCAAGATTTTGATTTGTGCCTGCCTTTACACAGCAGATGTGAGGCTGGGAGACAGCGGTGAGGCTGAATGTTACTGGGGGAGGGGTGGTCAGAATAGTATGTAAGCATTGGCAGAAGCCCCCCGAGCATTGGAAATGGGCCAGTGACTGTGGCCTCGAAGGACCCTGGAGCCCTATGTGAGAAGTGTCTTCTTGCTGGCCCCGTGCCCTTGATCCTCATGCCATTATCTTTCCAGGTGGAAGACTTGAAGTCTCAGCTGGTTTCCAGAGATGACTCCCGGAGGCTGGTGGAGCAGGAGGTTCAGGAGAAGCTGAGGGAGGCCCAGGAGTATAGCCGAATTCAGAAGGAGCTGGAGAGAGAGAAAGCCAGGTAGGCTTGATAGTCCACGGAGTAGCTTTTGCCTGTCCAGCCACTATGGTCACTGTGAGATAGACAGGCCTTTGCTCAGGCAACCTGGCATCTCATGTCTCTAGCCCTGGACTGTATGGGTAGCCATGTAGAGAGGATATGGTTCCTGTCTTCAAAGCTTATACTTCAGGTAGTATACTTTGAGAAAACACATTAGTGATAAACAGGACAGCATGGTTCCTGCCTCAGTAGAATATATGGTTTTGTGGGGAAGACGTGATTAAGTAATCATCCAGATAAATCATTGCTGGTTACATTACATGGTGTGAAGGGAAGAAACAGGATGCTGAAGTAGAGGTAAAGGTGAGGATGTACTTTAGATTAAGGTTTTAGGGAAAGCCTTCCTTCCCTTAAAGGGGAGGGGAGGTTGCCTTTAAACCGATCACTGAGGATAAGCTGAAAACAGCCATGCAAAGGGGTGAGGGAAAGTTCTGTGGTAGGTTAGAAATCTCAGTGGCCTGGAGGCAGATCTATACTGAAGATCTTTGGGGATACCAGAAGCACTATATGACCAGAGCCTGGTGAACGAGGACAGGGTACATGACCTGGGCAAGTCTGCATCGTTTGGGATTTGTGGGCCACAACCAGGAGTGTGTCATTTATTTTGGGTTTAGTAGGAAACCAAACGAGGGTTTTAAGCAGGGAAATTGACATGGTCCCGTTTATGATATATCAGAAGAGAATGATGGCAGGAAACCTCAGGAGTGAGATATGGCCATCCAGGTGAAGTGCGGCGTGTCTCCTCAGTGACGTAGGAGTTTGAAGAGGGACAGATCCTCTTGTTGAAACAATCACAGGGAGCTAGACAGGGTTAGGAGGTGGATGCGGTTGTTTGCTGGAGAGATACTAAGGATGCACAAGGGTAGGAGTAGTGGGGAAGGGGAGGAGGGAAGGAGCTCAGGGAAGGAGCTCAAGGGACATTGAGGGTGTTGGAATTCATTATATGTCATCACCGATTGGACATAAGTGGGATGAAGGGAGAACTCTCTGATGTGGTCAGGGCCACCAAATTAGAACATTGGGTGGATAAAGGTGCCATTCGCTGAGCTAGGGAGCAGGGTAGAGGGTGACTGGGGAGAGGGGGGTGCAGAGGGGATGGGAAGAACTGGATATGTTGAATTTGTGGTATTACACAGGTATTTCTGGAATTTGCCAGAGAAGAAGAAACTGAAGCTAAAAGGTGATATCAGGTCCGTGAAGTACCTAGGAGCACTCAGTGCTCAACAGATTCTAGCTTTTATTGTTACGCTGTAATTGTTCTCTCACAATTACTCTTTTAAGTATTAATGCTGCATTTAGCATAGTCAGATGTGAAAGGAGTTATTGATTCCCTAAGAAAATGACCTTAACCCTCTGGCCTCTCTGTAGCCTGATTCAGTCGCTGATGGAAAAGGAGCAGAGACTCCTTGTTTTACAAGAAGCTGACTCTGCTCGACAACAGGAGCTGAGCTCCCTGCGCCAGGACATGCAGGAGTCCCAGGAAGGGCAGAAAGAGCTCAGCACCCAGGTACTTCCCATGCTGCCTGGGGCGCCATTCCTTGGTGGAGGCCTCTTCCTGGAGTGCGGAAGGCTATTGTTCAGGATCGTTTCATAAGAGGACGGTTCTCTTGTTCCATTGTACAAGGTGTGCTGGGACCTCAGCAGCCCTGGCAGGAGGTGCAAGTCAGAACTGGGCAGGGCTGGGGGCTTGAGAACCTGACCCAGAGTTGAGAACAGAACCTGGTGCCCAAAGGGGTGGGTGGAGCTCACATAGGCCTAGACCAAGCATGGCTACATCTAAGTGTGCTTGGTCAGCTTGGCAAGACACAGCAGTGGAACAGGTCATTACACAGATCCGGGAGGCAGCAGCAAGAAAATTTCAGGATTCAGTCTGCTCATAACCCCAGACCTTGGGCACAGAGGGGAAAACTAAGCCGGTCAGAGATAGAAAGTAGACCAGAGCAATGAAAGGCCAGGTCCAGTCATTAGACAGTGCTGGATTTGCTCCCAGCAATCCTGCTTCTAGGTTACATGGGCATTCGTTTCTTCATCCATCAGACAAGAATAACTCTTAGCCACTTTAGGAATGTGTGGTGTCAGAACACAGTAGGCATTTTATAAATAGTAGCCATCATTATTGTGACTAGTCTTCTTTGGGCGGAGTGTCAGGGTTTCAGGCAGAGTTCTGATTGTAGCAGGGAGTTGGCATTGCTGCCAGGGGAACTAGGGCCACAGCCCATTTGCATCACCTAGGCCCATGTGTCAGGAGTCAGTTGGTGGACAAACAGGTCAGATTGAGAGTAACACTCATTCCAGAGCCTTCCTTTCTGCTGGAGAGCTGATCAAGGCCCTGATCAAGGCGAGCATAGGCTGGGTAGGGTCTGATGAGAAGGTGTCCACTCCCTGCTTAGAGTGATGACACTTCCTTCCTTTCCTGGCAGGTGGAATTACTGAAGCAGGAGGTGAAGGAAAAGGAGGCTGACTTTCTGGCTCAGGAAGCACAACTGCTGGAGGAGCTGGAGGCATCTCAAGTAACAGAGCAGCGGCTGCGAGCTTCCTTGCGGGCCCTGGAAGCCAAGGCAGCCCAAGTCCAACTGCGACTGCGCAGCACAGAGAACCAGTTGGCAGCTCTGGTGGCAGAGCAGCAGCCGGGGCACCAGGCCCAGGCCCAGCTGGCCAGCCTCTGCTCTGTCCTGCAGCAGGCCTTGGGGTTTGCTTGTGAGAGCAGGCCTGAGCTGCGTGGCGGGGGAGACTCTGCTTCCCTCTGGGGCCCCGAGCCAGGTAAGCCGGCAACCCAAGGACTCAGTCCTTTGGCCAAAGCCAGGCCTGTTTCCCTTGGGGGGAGATAGAAGGGGCCTCTGGTTCTTTAGGCAGTATTGCATCAAGGCTAAGGCCACAGACTCTGGAATTCAGTCAGAGTCTAAACACCTGCTCTGCCATTTGCTAGATGTGTACTTGGGCAAGTCACCTATCCTCTCTGAGCTTGATTTTTTTTTTTTTTTTTGAGAGAGAGAAAGAGAGCTTGTGCACACATATGTGAGCTCACTCGTGTGCAAGCAGGGGAGGGCTAGAGGAAGAGGGAGACAGAGTCTTAAACAGACTCCCCACAGAGCTCAGAGCCTGACATGGGGCTCGATCTCACAACCCTGAGACCATGACCTGAGTTTAAGCAACTACACCACCCAGGCACCCCATCTCAGGATTTTTCTAAAGAGTTAATGCGATTACATAAGTAAAATAGGTCACACAGTTCCTGGCATTTACTAAATGCCTAACAAATGATAGCTAGCATTATCAAGTGCCCACCATAGCTCCTGGCACATAGGAACACAGAAAGTTCACGATGAATGAACTGCTCAAAGGCGTTCTTTGGGGACAGGAGGGATCCGTAGGAAGGCCATGGCCAGATCTGGGGAGGTTTGGCTGTTTCTTTCATAGTGAAGCCAAGCAAGGATGTGTTTTCTCATTTTTTCAGACCAGAATGGAACTGGGATCCTCCTTAAGAGAGGGTCCCTCCTGACAGCTCTGTCAGCTGAGGCAGTGGCATCTGCCCTCCAGAAACTTCACCAAGACCTATGGAAGACTCAGCAGGCCCGGGTATGCTGCTATGCTCTCCTTCCTTGAACTCTTCACTCCCTGGCAGAGGACTCATGAAGCAGTTTGAGCTGTTTTATTCCCAAAATGAAGTTGGGATGAGTTCCACCCCAACACTCTCTACCTGGGCAAGCATGAGCATGGCATTTGGTTTCCTGGGCCTGGGTTTCACTAGCCAACTGAGGCAAACCATGCCTGCCTTGGGGTTGTGAGGAGGGTAGGGAGGGAGGGATCTGAGTGGGCTCTGAACTATAAAAGCCTGGAGAAATGAGGGATATTGTTATGTATCATTTTCCCTTTAGCTCTGATTTATTTATTCTTGGTGCCAGTACCTCCAAGAAAAACCTGACAAAACTGGGGACCACTAAGATTTGAGGTTGCCATTTATAGATTGAACTAAATGTCTCATAAATTCCACCTCTCAGTGAACCAATCATTCAATAAAAATTGAATGCCACCTATATGCCAGCCTTATGAGCTGATGGTATGGGAAGGAGAAAGACCAGGTTTCCACCCTCGAGAAGGCTGAGGAAGGAAACTGAATTCTAAAATAAGCAGAACTGATAGAATTAATCGGATCAATAACAGATGTAAATAGTGATAATAGGAGGAAGGGACAATTCATTCTTACTTGGGGAGGGTCACAGGGAAGGAAGAAGTGACCTTTGAGCTGAGCTTTGAAGTTGGAATTTGGGGGGAGAACTGACCCTGAGCTCAGCAGGGTCAGACAGGGATTCTAGGCTCCAGTCAGTTGGAGCAGAGCCTGTCATCACTCCAGAGAGCCATCTAGGAATAGATCCACAGGGCAGAGCCCACAGAGGCTGAAGGGGAGGAGGGGGGTGCTTGGGTCCGGAGCTGGGGTAGTTTTGTGGAAGATGAGGAGCTTAACCTCACCCTACCTTTCCCAGGATGATCTGCGGGAGCAGGCCCTGAAGCTGGAACAGCGTCTCACTGATACAGAGGCCGAGAAGAGTCAGGTCTGCACAGAATTGCAGGATTTGCAGAGACAACTCTCCCAGAACCAGGAAGGTGAGAAGCTCAAGGCAGGCAGGGAGGTTTGGAGGGAAGACAGAGGAGATGCCGAAGTCCAGAAGGGGCAGCTGCTCTTCACTGCTCACTCACAACTGTGAGAAGCTACTTAGAGACCTCTCCAAAGGGGTGATGACTATTTTTCTGTTTCGAGGGCCATTCTGGAAGGAGGGAGACAGAGGGAGACAGAGTGGCTGAAGTGAGGGAAGTTCCTGGCTAGGCTTCTACTTTCTCTGTCCACAGATTTAAAAACTAGCTACCTAGGGCCAGGACTGTGAGAAGGTTATAAAATTCTGTCTTTTGTCATTTATCCACGATAACTTTTGTCATCTCCAACTATGTCGTCAAAATTATTAACCTTTGACAGCACAAGGATTATGGGCTTGTTTGGGAGATAGCAAAGTGTGAGGATCTAAGGAGAATGTCCCCCTACCGCAGCCAAGTGTATGGGTGGTGACTACTTGGAAAAAAAAAGAGAGGGAGGGTCTTGGGGGCCAAGGCTCCATTGTAGAAGAGAAGAGGACAGCTTGGGGAGGGAATCTGGGCCTTGAAAATATCCCAGAGGGCTCCCTGAGAGCTGGGTTCTGGTGCATTTTTCAGAAATGAGGGGGCAGCCAATAGAGTGACACCAGTCCCTAGGAACCTCTGCAAATCATAGAACTGGAACCTAGAAAGGACCTCCAATGTCCTCTAGTTCACCCCTGCTTGGAACTCAGGGTTGGCGATCTCTACGTGATCAGGGTGAGGCAGTGTTGGGAGGATAGTCAGGCAAGTGCTGGCACTGGGCAGCAGACACAGATGTGAGCGCGGATGCTGCAAGGAGCCTAGACAACCAGGAACAGCTGGCAGATGGGTGACAGGTCTGCGAAATGATGTAATTCTCTCCTTCTTAGCCTTCTTCCCCTTTGATTCTGTTCCTCACCATCCTTCTGCCTCTATATCCCTCTTTTCCTCCACTCTCAACTCTGGGCCCTGCTCTACCACCTTCTCTCTTCCCAAAGAGAAATCCAAGTGGGAAGGAAAACAGAACTCCCTGGAATCTGAGCTGACTGAACTGCATGGAACTGTGGCATCATTACAGAGTCGTCTACGGCAAGCAGAGCTGCAGGGACTAGAGGCCCAGGTGAGGTGGCCCTGATCTGGGGGAGGGAATTTCTTCAGGAGGAACCCTCAGGGGCCAGGCTCCAGACCACTTCGGCTTATGGTCATAACCCATCCATATGTCATGTCCAACGTCCTTCAGCAAAGGTCTGTTTCCCTGGCTGTCTCCCTGTCCCTGAGGCCCATTAGGAAGGCCCTGGTGAGTTTTTCTGAACTGAGGTAGAAATTTTTGTCCCTTGTCCCGAAAGACCAGAATCTGGGATGGCTCGTTTGTATCAGGCTTTCTTTGGACCTAGCAGAGCCCTGGAATGTTGTGGGGATGATTTCTTATGGTATCAGTTTACGTGGAATGCACCAGTTCTTTTTGTTACTCCTTGACGGGGCTGTGCCACAGAGTAAGGAAATGGAGGGCCTGAGCTGGGGTGACAGTATCAAGGAAGCGTAGCCTAAGGCTGTTTTTGCATCTTGTTTCCCAGAATGAGCAAGAGCTACTGCAGGCAGCCAAGGAGAGCCTGACAGCCCAGGTGGAACGTTTGCAGGCATCTGTGGCAGAAGCCAGGGCTCAGGCCGGTGCCACCAGGGCTCTGGAGGAGGACTTGAGAACTGCTCGCTCAGCCCTGAAACTCAAGAGCGAGGAAGCAGAGACCGAGCGTGAGCGGGCCCAGGCTCTGCAGGAGCAGGGCGAGCTGAAGGTGGCCCAAGGGAAGGCTCTGCAGGAGAATTTAGCTATCCTGGCTCAGACTCTATCCGAAAGAGAAGGGGAGGTGGAGGCTTTGCGGGGAAATATTCAGGAACTGGAGAAACAACAGGAGATGCAAAAGGCTACTTTGGAAGCTCTGTCTCTGGACCTAAAGAAGAAGAGTGAAGAGGTAGATGCGCAACAAGAACAGATCCAGGAGCTGGAGAAGTGCAGGTCCCTTTTAGAAGATCTGCCTCTGGCCATGCAGGAACAAGAGCAGAGGCTGGTTGCACAGAGGGAGCAAATCCAAGAGCTCGAGAAGGATCGAGAGACCCAGAGGAACATCTTGGAGCATCAGCTTCTCGAACTTGAGAAGAAGGCCCAAATGATAGAGTCCCAGAAAGGAGAGATTCAGGACCTGAAGAAGCAGCTGGTTACTCTGGAATGCCTGGCTCTGGAACGAGAGGAAAACCATCACAAGATGGAGTGCCAACAAAAGGCAATCGAGGAGCTGGAGGGCCAGAGGGAAATGCAGAGAGTAGCTCTGACCCACCTCACACTGGACCTGGAAGAAAAGAGCCAGGAGCTGCAGGCCCAGAGCAGTCAGATCAACAAGCTGGAGAGCCATAGCACCCTTCTGGCGAGAGAGCTCCAGGATAAGGACCAGGAGCTGAAGTCCCAGCGAGAACAGATCGAGGAGCTGCAGAGGCAGAAGGAGCGTCTGGCTCAGGACCTAGAGAGGAGGGACCAGGACGTGGTGCTCCAGAGGGAAAGGATTCGGGTCCTAGAAGACCAGAGGACGCTGCAGACCAAGATCCTGGAGGAGGACCTGGGACAGATCAAGCTGTCCTTGAGAGAGCGAGGCCGGGAGCTGGCTTCCCAGAGGCCACCGATGCAGGAGCGGGCAGAGGAAGGGAAGGGCCCAAGTAAAGCCCAGCGCGGGAGCCTGGAGCACCTGAAGCTGATCCTGCGTGACAAGGAGAGGGAGGTAGAATGCCAGCAGGAACGCATCCAGGAACTGAAGGAGTATAAGGATCAGCTGGAGCAGCAGCTCCAGGGCCTACACAGGAAGGCAGGGGAGACTGGCCTCCTCCTGACTCAGCGAGAGCAGGAGATAGTGGTCCTGCAGCGGCATCTGCAGGAAGCCGCAGAACAGGGGGAGCTGAAAGAGCGGTCACTTCAGGGTCACCTGGAAGAGGCCCAGAGAGCCCTGGCCCAGAGGGACCAGGAGCTTGAGGCCCTGCAGCACCAACAGCAGCAGGCCCTGGGGCAGGAGGAGACTAGGAAGGAAGAGGCAAGCACCCTGCAGAGGGCTCTGGAGCAGGCCCACACGGCGCTGAAAGAGCGCCAGGGAGAGCTTGAGGACCACAAGGAGCATGTGCGAAGGCTCCAGGAGGAGCTGGCCATGGAGGGACGGCGTGTGCAGGCCCTGGAGGAGGTGGTGGGTGACCTAAGGGCTGAGTCTCGGGAGCAGGAGGAGGCTTTGCTGGCCCTCCAGCAACAGGGTGCTGAGCGGGCACAGGAGCATGAGGCGGAGGTCGGGGGCCTGCGGGCCAGCCTGCTGCAGGCAGAGACTGCACTCAAGGAACGGGACCTGGAGCTGGAGGCCCTGCGAGCCGATGGCCGGGCCTCCCAGCTTCGGGAGGAGACAGCCCGGGACTGGGCCCAAGCTCTGCAGGAGGCCCTGAGCAAGGCCCAGGCTGCCGTGCAGGAGAAAGAGCAGCGGCTGCTGGGTCAAGCAGAGTTGAGCCGCAGCCTGGAGACCAGCACTGCCACTTTACAGGCTGCCCTGGACTCCTGCCAGGCACAAGCCCGGCAGCTGGAGGAGGCTCTGAGGAGGCGAGAGGGCGAGATCCAGGACCGGGACCTCCGGCACCAGGAGGCCGTGCAGCAGCTCCAGCGGGCACTTGCCCAGAGAGATGAAGAATTGAGCCATCAGAAGAGACAGGGGCAGCTGCTAGAGCAGTCTCTGGCCCGGAGGGCCCGAGAAGATGCCATCCAAGGGAAGCCAGGTCCGGAGCAGGAGAGAGAAGAGGAAGAGATGAGGGGCCTTCGAGAAAGCCTAAGGGAGTTGCAGCTGACTCTAGCCCAAAAGGAAGAGGAGATCCTGGGGCTGAGGGAGGCCCAGCAAAGGAAGAATCTGGAGGACTCCCTGCACAGCCACACAGCGCCCCCAGAGCCCTCTACAGACTTTGCCACCTTACGGCCCAGGCTGCAGCAGGAGCTGGAGCGACTGCAGACAGCGCTGAGGCTAACTGAGGCCAGGGAGATTGAGTGGAGGGAGAAGGCCCAGGACTTGGCGCTGTCCCTGGCCCAGAGCAAGGCTAGCGTCAGCAGTTTGCAGGAGGCAGCCATGTTCCTACAGGCCTCTGTTCTGGAGCGGGACTTGGAACAGCAGAGGCTGCAGGTGAGTCACCCCATGAATCATAACAGCAGGGAGGGTGCAGAGCCCAGTTTGGCTGAGCTCAGGGGCTGCCCACCACCCTGGGCTTGTGGCACCTCAGGGTGTGAGAGAGCAGAGGTAAGTGGAATCCAGGGTACTGTGCTAGTCTGGGGGGATATGGAGAAAGTAAGACAGCCACGGTTCCTGCCCTCGTAGAGCTTCTAGTCAAGCAGATAAACAATTAGAATGCACTGTCAGGTTCTAATTAGATCCTCATTAGGGAAGATCAGTGTGCTCTTGAGCATGCAGAGGGCACTCAGCCAGCTGTTCCTAGTGGAAAATCCTGAAAGGCTTCCCAATAAGAGCAGGCTTTAAAATTAGATGAGAAGGGAACAGTAAGGAATTAGCCAAGCACAGGTGGGGGAGGAGTTTACTGGGGAAGAGGAAAAAGGAAGGAGAATGTGTAATGTCTGCATAGGGACTTCGGGCTGCCTGGGACACAGAGGGGCAGTTAGCAACAGAAGACAAGGCAGCGGGGTGCCATCATCGTTGAGGGCTTCTAAGTTGTGTCAAGGACCTGGCTGACCAGTGGGACCTGGATGAAGCATTTGGGGCAGTGGAGGAGGGTGACACAATCCAATGTTTAGTCCAGAAAATCACTCAGGCTACTGTGTGAAGCAACAGTGGATCTGGAGAACAACAAGGAGGCAGTCATCGAAGTCCCGGGACAGATGGTCACCTAAGACAGTAGGGGTGGATGGTGACACAGGGTGGGTATAGAAGCTCAAAGGACTTCTGGCAGTTGACTGGCTAAGAGACGGGGAAGTAAAAAAAGGGCAGAAGAAAACCAAACCCTCAGGTTTCTGCTCAAAGGCAGGTTTCAGAAATGCTATGGAAGGCAGCAAGGTGAGGTGCCTGTGGGATGTGCAGGGGATGACGTCCAGTGGGCAGGACTGTAAAGTGACCTGAAGTTGAAGGATGATACTAGGGATAGAGACTTGGGGTCCACACCAGTTAGGGATAAGTGTACTCCTCTAGGTGGAATATTGAGTGAGAAGGGAAGTGGGCCTTAAGGTGTAGCATTCAACCTCAAGGTCAGGGGCCATGTCTTAGTCCCCTGGGCACCCCAGCACTGAGCATACGGCCTGCACGGAGTAGGCATTCAGGAAAGTGAGGTTGGCTATTGGTCATAGAGAGCCATTGTCTCTTTTGCCAAGAGGAACCCAGTCCAATTTTCCCAAGAAATTGACTCTACATTGTGGGGCCTTGACCAGGGCTGAGCCCCAGAGAACCCCCTTTGTTATCTCTTTTTTTTTTTAAGATTTTATTTATTCATGAAGACACAGAGACAGAGGCAGAGACATAGGCAGAGGGAGAAGCAGGCTCCATGCAGGAAGCCCGATGTGGGACTCCATCCTGGGACTCTGGGATCATGCCCTGAGCCTCAGGCAAACGCTCAACCCAGGTGTCCCCCCTTCGTCATCTCAGACACAGCCATGCAGGGACTTACCTTCTGGGAGCGATATGCAGAGAAGGGGATCCATTGTGAACTTTGGAGTCAAGTTCCTGAGTTTGTAACACAGTCCTACAGCTTATGGGCTGTGTGACCCTAGATAAGTGCCTTTACTTCTCTGACTCTTGGTTTTCTCTTCAATAAAATAGGGAATGACAGTACTAGCCCCAAGGGTCATCTTGAGTATAAAATGAGATAATACATATAAAATGCATAGGAAGGAAGCATTCAATAAGTAGAATTCCTTTCCTATTTCTAGGCTCATTCTTATAGGCACAGAGAAAGTAAGGTATATCACTGGGCAGGAGGATTACTGAGCAGTACTGTAGGCCAGGTCAGAGTCCCCCTGCACTCCTCACCCCTCAAACACTCAAGAACATCTTTCAGATGCAGCCCTCCATCGCAATGCTGTCATTTTTTATCTTAAGCATTTTCCATGCCATGCATTTTTATTCTTGCTTCCTTCCACAACAGCCCTGAGAAGTAGGAATTATTATCTTCAGTTTGCAGTTCAGAGAGGCCAGGTAACTTGTCCAAGGTCATATGGCCAGTTGATGGCAGAATTAGATCTAGGGAGTCTGACTCTAGAATGCAGCCTGTTTATTGCTGAGATCTTCCTGTCTCCCAGACAACTTCCACCTGTGCACACGCACTTCCTCTTATCTGTCTTCTTGACCATTAACACTTATGAGACATACGGCACCTAGAAAATATCTAGTGCTGGGGTCCCCACTTATCCATAGGGATTTAACCTCAGGGTCTTGATCTACGCTTCATAGAGTTTTGTTTTTGTTTTTTTTTTGTTTTTTTTCACACAAATGAGCAAGTTGGGTTTTGGAGAGCACTCATACCAAGTCACAGAGCCCATAAGTGGTGACATAATGCCCAACTGTGTGTGATCCCAGAGTCTATGTCTCAGTGCTCCAAGTTGTTGCTTAGCTTATGGGAGATCTCAGACGAGCCAGGTTTTAGCCCTAGCCAACTGTGCATCTTTGAATAGACCCCTCTCTGCTTCTTTGCTTTATCCACCTGTAAAATAAAGATTCTTCACTAGAATAGTTCAGAAGAGGCTCCAGGAACAATAAGACTATAATCTGATGAGAAAAGTAATCAGTTTTTATGAGGATGGAAGGCAGAGAAGGTCTGGATATGACATTGTCAGGGGGTGATTTGCTCCACACCTTGATGTCCCAGGATGAGTTGGAGCTCACCAGACAGGCTCTGGAGAAGGAGCAGCTCCTGAGCCCTAGTTCAACCAGCAGAGCAGAACAGAGGCCCAGAGAAGAGGTAGGTGGACAGCTGGAAGAGGTGAGCTGGGGGCCTGGTGGGAACAGATGACCAGGGGGAGTCTCCTTTCCAGGGGCTTCTTCCCCTCCTTTGGGAATTGGGTCCCTGAAGCTCAGCTCTGCCAGATTGATCCCTTTGTCCTCTATCTGATCCCCATCTGCCTAAGGGGCTGCCCAGGTGAGTGTAACAGGTCTGTCCTGCAGGTGTCAGAAGTCGAGGCTGAGCCTAGTCTTGGGCTGGAGGAGAGGCAGCTATGGGGACAAAGGCTGGAGTACCTCCAGCAAGCAGTGGCACAGCTGGAGATTGACCGGAGCAGGCTGCAGCACCACAATGTCCAGCTGCGGGCAACCTTGGAGCAGGTAATCCATTTCTCTTGTCCTCAGCTCCCTCAACTGGGGTCCAGTGGGCAGGCATCTCTACCTCCCGTGTAGCCCGCAGAGCAGAGCTGTAAGCTGTAGCCCCAGGGCCACATTCAGCCCTGCTGCCTGTTGTTGAAAAGAAATTTTCATGGGAACACTACAATAGAGGAATTGAATAGTTGTGACAGAGATTTAATGGCCTGCAGAGTCTAGAATACCACAGAAAGCCTTCACTAAGCCTGCTCTGAAGGCCTGAGTGGCTGGCCCTACCTCTTCTGGCCCAGCAGCACATCTCTGTTCTCAGGCTGCCCTGGCCCATGCTCTCCTCATGCTGGGAGTTTAGCTTCTCATGATTGCTGTCCCCTGCTCATACCTATACCCACAGCCACACCAGCCTCCTCTCAAACAGGCAGTCCTGCTCCAGCCCCAGAGCCAAGCCAAGCCCTGACTTCTCAGCTGAATCTTGCAGGTGGAGCGAGAGCGCAGGAAGCTGAAGAGGGAGTCCATGCGCGTGTCACGGACAGGCGGCCTGGAGGTTAAGGAAGCTGCGGCTTCGTCCCCCACACAGCAGGTGTGCCTCTTCTTATTGACTGCGGCCTCCAGAAAGTCCAAACCTGGCCCCCAGAAACAGTCCCCTGCAGTACATAGCCCAGGCTACCCTCTGGGGGGAGACAGCCATGATGCTAGCTGACCTGGAGAGCCCCTCCTGGCTGGCTTCTACCCACCCAAGGCAGCTCAGTCTGTTCCTGACCCAGGAAAGCGGTCTATCCTCAGTAGGGATGGAGTCACAGCTTGCAGCCCTACCTTCTCAGGAACTCAGGAAGGCTTCCCTGGCATGTAACCTACCTGCTGCCAGACCAGGGCCTCAGGCTCACCCAAGAGTGGGGCTCCTCGGGCTTCTGGTCAGAATCCCTGTATATGGGTTTCAAGTGGTGCTTGCCAGACCCTGATGTGCCCAGGAGCTTGATAGCAGCTTTGTGGGCCCCTTGGCTCTCCTCCCTGGTAGTACTGAATTTATAAGATTAGAGTCCATGGTATTTCCTGGGACTAGACTCGCTTTTTGGGGTAAGGAATTGGGGGAAGACTCCCCAGACCAGCACTCTTTTAGCTGAGTTATGCCCATCAATAAACAGTGCTGCAGCCTGATCAGGAGAGACTTCTTCTGGTGGCTGAGCATCTCCCAGCTGTTTGTCCCCCTTCCTTTATGAAAGCTTCCCAAGGGCAGGCACCTCGCCTTACTTCCTTTCTGCATCCCTAGCTCACAGCCCAGGGCTGGCACAAAGCAGAGGCGAGGTATACTTCTGTAAATGAAAAGGTGACTCAAGCCAATGCCATCTGAGCCTGTTGGATATTCAGCATCATGTCTCCATGGGCATCATCCATTAGGCTGGCTTGGCCCCTTGTGGACTTCCTTGCCCAAGGGCCATGGTGCCCCATGGAGTCCAGTGTGGATCCAGGCACATCTGGCCCACAGCACCTGCCTTGGCCCCCGATATTGGGATGAGCTGCCTGAAAATGCCTACAGAACCCCCAGGGTGGGAGGGCCTATTCCGATAGGGAATGACATTTGTCCTCCATAGGATGGAAGGGGAGGACAGAAGGGCTCCTCAGATGACAAGCAGATGGCTGAACTGCAGAAAGAGGTATGTTCTGGAAGGATCAGTTTTCTAAGCCCCCTTTCCCCTCCCTTGAAATCCGGGGACAAGGCTTTGGTTAATTGCTGTGTGCTTGACCCCTTGTGGCCCTTCCAGCAGAGAGATAGGAGATAGTTCCTCAGAGAACTTCAGTCTGTATGGGAGGCAAGAAGAACCCAGTCCCAACTCAGCATCCCAGCTGTTTAGGGTAGGAGTGGGGAAGAAAGCGTGCTCCAGACCCCAGACCACCAGCTTCCTACTTAGGAAGGGAAAGGAGAAGGAAGAGGGCCTGGGGGCAGACAGAAGATTCTAGGAGGACAAACAAAAGCAAACATGAGCATCCTGGTCTCCTCTGCCCTCAAATACACCCATGCAAGCAGGGCTGTCGCCAGCATACCAGGCACAGTAGCCTGGCACCAGCACCAAGATCCATACCTCTTAGCTCAGTTGAAGCCACTTCATACAAGGAAGCTAGGATCAAGTGCCTTCTTGCCCCTTAGGCCTCACTTAAAATCCTGGCATTTTATTATAAGGTTTGCCCTGTCTTCCAAAGCCCAGGAGTAATAAGAACTATGGAATTTTTATTTCTGAGTCTGTTTCAGAAATTAATAGCACTACTGGCAGAGCCTGACTGTACAGCTACACTTAGCCATTAATTTGAATTCATAGGAAGCAGTCCCGAGTTGGGGCCCAGACTAGGGGGAGGCAAGGGAAGCATGTAGGGTGGAGAATTTAAGGGGATGCTCATTATCGACCTGGAGTCCCTCCTTAAATTGTACACTCCAGGAGTCTTTTGCCTCACCCTAGTCCTAGATCTCCCCTGAGCTCCCAGTAACCACCTCCTGGTAGTCTCCATGTACTCATCAGAGAAGGATTATTATTATTTTTAAAGATTTTATTTATTTATTCATGAGAGACATAGAGAAGGAGAGGCAGAGACACAGGCAGGAGAAGCAGGCTCCACGCAGGGAGCCTGACGCGGGACTTGATCCCAGGTCTCTGGTACCACGCCCTGGGCCGTAGGCGGCACCAAGCTGTTGACCCACCCAGGCTGCCCAGAGAAACAAGAATTAATCAGTGATTCTCAACCTCGGCTGCACATTAGAATCACCTGAGGAGCTTTGAAAAAATACTGATGCCCAGGCCTCACCACCATGTAATTAAGTCAGAGTATTTATCAAAAGCTTCCAAAAGGTCACTGTAGAGCTTTCTGCAGGGCTTAAAATATTCTGTATCTTGATTGGGATACTGGTTATACATGGGTATGAACATTATCAAACTCACCAAAATATACAGTTAAAATCCTGGCATTTTATTACATAAATGATCCATCAATGAAGTACATGAGTATTTTGTTGTTGCTCTTGTTCTTAAGGTCCCTATTCGAGTCTCCTATGCAGCCAGGGTTGAGAATCACTGGAATTCCCATGATTCCCAAAGACCCTTGCCCCAAATACTATAGTGCTGATCATGAGATTTGTGTGTGGTAGTTGATTCAGGTACTCCCTCACAAGAGCCCGGGGAGCAGAGCAGGAGGGCGTGGGGCAGCTTTGGGGCACTTACCCTTTCCCTCTTGGTTTCCTGCCCCCAGGTGGCCATGCTGCGGGGCCAGCTGGCCTTGGAGCGGAAGCAGAGGCAGGACTACATTGCTCGCTCGGTGCAGACTAGCCGTGAGCTAGCGGGCTTGCACCACAGCCTCTCCCACTCACTGCTGGCCGTGGCCCAGGCCCCTGAAGCCACCGTCCTGGAGGCCGAGACCCGCAAGCTGGACGAGTCCCTGACTCAAAGTCTGACATCCCCAGGGCCAGCTTTGCTGTGCCCCAGCCCCAGCACTATCCAGGCCATCTCCAGGTAGCAGCCACAGCCAGGGCAGGATCCGGGCCAACCTGGGGATACATGAACAGATGAATGGCTGTCATGGCCCAGAGAGAGGGAAGGAAACCCACAAGGCTGGGGAAGGCCCTGACTCACGTAGGCATGAGGCCAGCCACACCTGCCCATAACCGAGAGTCACCTGCAGGAGTTTTGCTCTGGCCCAGGGGCATCTACTGCCTCTTGTCTAGAATGTATTACCCCAGCACCTCACCTAATCTTTCTCCTCCCCTCCAACAATAAACCCCATGTCTCCACATTTGTTCTCTGCTGCTGTCTTCACTCGTGTCACTGGGCAACAGTAGCACATCAGGGCATCTGTGAAGGAAGAATTTGCTAAAGATTCCTATCAGGTAGCATGAATTTGTCATCTGCCTGCATTCTGACAGAGAAGGCTTATGACTGATGCAACAAGACAAAGCCGCTATCCACGGGGAGCTGGAGTCCAGTTGACAAGAACACTTATCAGTGAGTCACACAGACAGTTCTGTGTGCTGACTAGAAGTGTGTAGAAATTCTGGAGACTGAGGAAGGAAGGCATGAGCTGGCCCTTGAAGGATGGAGGAGTTGGGCGGGGTTGCTAAGCATGCTGGGAAGATCAGTCAGCCTGTGCCAAAGCATGCTGGGCCTCAGGTTGGATGCATAGGGAGGGAAATTATAGAGGGCCCTGGAATATAGATTTGAACTCATGGATAATGAGGAACCATCATATGTTCTTGACTTAAAATAACTTCTGGGGCTTCAAAAACATTGAGTTGACCTTAGGCTAGTCAGTTTCTGGAGTTCAAACACTCCATCTGGCCTCAGTCCCCTTCTGCTCTGGGTGAATGCCCTTGGCGTCCCTTCCTGGGCATACCAGCTGCGACCAGCTCTGGTCCCCTGTAGTCCAACTGTGTGTCAAGCCAGTAAAGAGGATGGCCAATGGCAGAATTTGTCACTTAGGGACTGACCCTGGTGGAGGCACCCTGGACTGAACCCCATTCGCCACCTTAAAACTTATTGTTGGCAACTTTCTCGAAGCCTAGAAGAACAATTTTCTTTCTTTCTTTTTTTTTTAATTTTATTTATTTATGATAGTCACACACAGAGAGAGAGAGAGAGAGGCAGAGACATAGGCAGAGGGAGAAGCAGGCTCCATGCACCGGGAGCCCGACGTGGGATTCGATCCCCGGTCTCCAGGATCACACCCTGGGCCAAAGGCAGGCGCTAAACCACTGCGCCACCCAGGGATCCCCAGAACAATTTTCTTTAAAGAAGCTGGGCTTGGCCTTCCTCTGGCCCTTCAGGTGTAACCTGGAATTCCTTTTCCTAAGCCTGAGGATGGAGCTAAGGCCTAGTTAAGAATGTAGGGGTTTAAGAATAGCACCCGATTCCCACAAACCTACTTACTCAGGGCCCAGGCCCCTTGTATTTCATCACATCACACAGAGCAGACAGGGCGCTGTTCACCACTGCGGAAGCTTTATTCCAAAAACTCATGGCTTGGGACTCAGCAACAGATCCTTAGTAAGACATCACAGTTTAGAAGCCCCCAGAACTAGGCCTGGGGCCCGAGAGATGCTAGACCCTAGTGAGGTTCCCTGTGACTCAGAAGCCTCACCTGGCCTTTTCTGTGCTGGGAGTTCTCAAAGACAAACAGGACTTGGCTCATTATATTCTGTCCCATCCTCTGATTCTCTAGCTTAGAGGAGAGTGTGGATCTTCCAGGCAGGACTGAACCTTGCCTAAGGGCATCAGGCAAGAGCTTCCTTTCCTTTTCCTCATCTCATGCCACAGCAAATCAGTGGTTAGGAAATGCCCCTGACCAGCTAGGTCTCATGGATGTACTTGAGGACAGTAAAGTTAATCACCAGAACCCTGAGGGGAAAGGTCAGAGCTGAGCGCAGAGGGTTCCTTTCACAAAATCTTTCCCTTCAACCTTCTCCTTGTCTGTTCGCTAGAGGCTGGTGCAGGCCAGAAAGTCGTGAGAGTAGTAGAGCTTAGCCAGAGTCTGGGCAATGTTCTTGTTCCTAGGGAGTGCCTGGGTCTGGTGGGTGCGGGCACCCCATTCTCTCAACCAGTCTCCCTACTTTGTGTGTTAGAGCAACAATCATCAGAGCACAATCGAATTACCTTGATTCATCTGCTTCCCTGCTTGGAACCAGCAGCAGCTTGAAGGCAGAAAAGCTGCCTAGCATGAGGTAGAGAAGGAAAAACTGGTTGTATGTTAGTGAGGGGGTTGGAGAGCGTGCAATCACAGCAGAGTGACGGCAAGGTAACAACACCAAAAAGCTAAGGGCTGTCTGCTCCAGGCCTGGGGCCTCCACCAGCCATACCACCTGATAAAAGATGCCCTTTTCCACCTTGGCTCAAGACCACCACAGTCCATACTGCATATGGAGGCTTCAGCAACGCCAGCAGCACATGGATATTCTTACCAGGTCATGGGTATTCTCAGGTGCACTATGTACAAGTAGGTTTTGTTTGTTGCCCTTGTTACCTGAACCTAAAAATGAGGCCTGGTTTACTCTGCAGAGATAGGAAAGGAAGTCAGGAAGGCACTGGGGCTCACAGGCTGGCACTGCTCACCACCCTCACCCTCCTGCCCCCACCAGAGCACGGTGTGGTGCTCCTCAGTGGATGTCCCATGCCACAACACGATTTCACATTACCTAAGTTCCTCACTGTATATAGCACAGGACCGGCATGGTCTCAGGGTTTTGCTGTGGCCTGGGGTCAGCTGAAATAGTTTCTCCTTGGCTGGCTGGCACTGGATTTGTTCTCCTAGCATCAGGGCCTACAGAGAAGAGCAAAGACCACTTACTGCTTGACCCCCATGTTCTAACACAAAGGAGGCTATTGGAGCAGAGAAAGGAGTCAGGGAGGTGGTATAGCTCAGAGCCCAGGAACTCTGGAGATGGTCTCCAACTTCATAAGGAGCTTCGGGGCCCATCTGGAAGCACTGGTCAAATCAGGCAGACAGCCTGCTGGTGAAAGCAGGCTATGCAGATGTGGCACCGTGGTGAGCAACCTCAGAGCCTCTGGGGCTCTGGGCCAGCAGCAGAACTTCCAGATGTTCCTGTGGAAGTGGGGATACCTCACCCACAAAAGCAACAAGGCAACCTCCAGCCAAAGACTGCATGCAGGCCTCCTCTCAGCACATAAAACAGGTCCCTTTTCAGCCAGCTGGTTGTTTAATTGTTTGGTTTTAGGACACATGACACCTTCCTGTGTTATGTACCCCCACCCCCACCCTGCAATACCTCACCTCCTATCTCCTGACCTGCTAACCACCTGTTCGCTCCTCAGGGCAGGGGAAGGGAGCAGCTGAGCCCTGTGCTAACACTAGGTCCTGAAAAGTGGAGTCAGGGTGCAGAGGTGGGGGACAGGAAGAAGCAGGGGCAGGAGGCAAAGTCAGGGAGCATGAAGAAGGAGGGTCTATCAGCATGCTACAAGCAGTAACATCCCCTGTGTGATCCTCCAGCATCATGGGGAAGGAGTACAAGCTCAGCTCTGCTTGCTACACTTAGGAAGTAGCCAAGGGAGCAAGAAGAACATGGGGTCTCAACTTGGGGCCCTGGAATTTCCTCCGTCTACACCTGCTGGGACCAGGGTTTGCCTAGATTCCAGTGGAGGTGAGGCTGAGAAGGGAGACTCTTCCAGACGAGGTAGGGCTGTGTTCCCTGGTGCCATGGGTCCCACCTAATTGGTTTATATCAGTAGCCTGTCACAGTGTGGACATTGTGACCTCTTTCTTGGTCGTTTGTTAACCAATCCCACTAGCTCTTTATATGCCTTCTTGAGGCCTGAAGCATGACACTGGTGGGAGGGCTTGCAGGTAAAAAGAGGAATGGGTCAGGGATCAGAGGAGAGTTACAGTTCTCCACTAGAGGCTGTGCATTGTGTCCCCAACAGAGTGGCTGCTCTCTGTTCTCAGCACAGGGGCTTATGTGTGGAGGCAGGGAGGGGATGAGAATTCATATTTGATTTTGATTCTTCCTTAATTATTGCTAGTTGTTGAGGTGATGGAATCGGGGAAGGCTTTTATCCAGTGCCTGATAATCCATACATCACTCTTGTACCTCATATCTTGGTATCCTGTCATAATCTCTCCTAGATCTGAGTATTCCAGCCCCACCTGGCAGATCCAAAAGTCTAATGCTTGTTGGTGTCCAAAATTAGTCCCACGTTCTAGCTATATGATTACCTTGCCTTCTGCCGTGGCGTTGTGGCTCAACAAATCGTGCTGGGGTGGATGTAACTCCTTTCCCTATATGGGGCCCACCTCTTGTCTGCCCAACTCCAAATATAGTAACCTTGTGGAGAAAATGAGTTGATTGCTGTCCCTGCCCCTAATCCAGCTCTTCATTCGCTTGGCAAATACTAAACCTGTGTGTCATGAAGCTTTACAATGAACACTGAAAAGAAGACCTCTTCTCCAGGGAAGATAGAGCCTGGACATAGACAAACACTTGCAATGTCCAGAAGAGGTTCACTGGCCACTGGATGAGAAAGTGTCACAGAACATCTTGGTAGAAGAGAGGGCTGGAGAGCCCTTTCAAAGTGTTTCCACGCTGATTGGGTGTATGCACAGATTTCTAGGGTCCAGGGGGTGTGCCTGTGGTCCAAAGAACAATGGCAGGTCCTTGGAGCTAGCCCGTTCAAGTTAGACCTTCCTGACAAGAGAACAAGCATCAGCCACAGGTGAGCATCAAGGCGGCCCACAAGCCTAAAATCCACCATAAGGCTTCACTGTCCCATGCAGAGGGAAAATGGCAGGCTGACTCAGACACCAAACACTGGGAAAAGTAGGAAGTTGTGGTCACAGACTTCACCAGCACCACGCCGGCCTGGCAGCCTCCTTCATGACTCCATAGTCACCTGCTAAGCTCTACAGGGTGCACCGCTGGAGGCTGAGAGGAGGGAGGGGAGAGGCAATACTTGGTGTATCCTGTGGCCTCCCTAGAGGAGAAGGGGTTGATGCCCAGTGGGTTTCTTCATGCCAGCCCAGAATCAGGGACCCCATACCACAAGTCACATTGTGAGTTCCTGCATGGAGGCTTTGTGGATAACTGCCTTCACCTTGGCATTCAGCCCAGGGTCCAACAGACAAGGAAGGGCTTGGAAATCAAGTATAATGGGGATAGGAATAAAATGGGAAGAATATGTGCCAAGGCTGGTGTGGAGCATCTCTCTGAGATGGGAGCCATCTATTGCCAGCACAGGGTTGGTAGGCATGAGGCAGAAAGGGGAAAGAAAGAGCCTTCTGACCCCTCTTGAGAAAAGAGTCTACAGGAAAACTTTGGGATGTGGTTAAAAGTAAATTTCTACCCAACCAAACTTTTTGTTTTGTTTTGTAGATTTTTGTTTCATTTATATAAAATGAAACCAGTGCCTACACATCGTTACAAAATTAAGTAAAAAAGAAGGAGCAGTTTGCCATCCAGCTTTTCTAACCTCTCTCCAGGAGCAACCAATTTTTTAAAACTCTATTTTTGTAGCAGGTAACTTTTGTTTCTCTAAATAATATGTTAATAGGATGTCCTAGTGGGTCCAGGATTTGGAAAACATGACGGTAGGCAGCTGTACTGTTCACACCTTTGGGGTTTTTGGACTCTGGCTCCAAGCTAGACACTCTGTAGACCCCATTGCTCTTGGGGAGGCAGGTACATGTGCTCTTGGCTGTATGAGGGATATTTGCATTTTGTTAGTTTGTGTGTACTTTTTGGGCAGCCAGGGAGGTAGAATGTAGTGGATATTTGTTTTATGCACCCAGCAACCAAACACCCTCATTAACTGAGGCTATTTGGTTACCTTGAAATTCTGTTTATAAAAAAAAAAAAAAAAGCCTCCCCTCCCCAGTTGATGTAATCGTCTTCTCCAATGAATTGTTTTTATTTCTGAATATCATGATGGACTCAGGACTTTTTATATATTCCCTGTGATTCCATCATGACAATTGCTATTTTTGATGTTCAAATCTTCCCAACTTTGAGGCCTAGATTTCCTGTGTACTTTTTCTGTCAGACCTGGAATCTTTCCGTGGGAAAGAAGTATTGAAAACCAAATCTGAGTTCCAGGACTGATCATTGCTACCAGTATGTTAGGGGTTTTTTAGATTGTTCAGATGACAGAGCAGAAAATGTATTTGGAAAATCATGAGTTCACGGTGGTGCTTGCACAACAGTGTGTGTACTTAATGCCACTGAACACACTTAAAGTGGTTAAAATGGTAAATGTGATGTATATTTTGGGACAACAAAAAATAAAAATGGAGTTTATAATGATATTTCCAGTTTGAACTTAACGTCACAGAGTTGTTGTTTTTTTTAAAAGATTTTGTATTTAGGGATCCCTGGGTGGCGCCTGCCTTTGGCCCGGGGTGCGATCCTGGAGACCCGGGATCGAATCCCACATCGGGCTCCCGGTGCATGGAGCCTGCTTCTCCCTCTGCCTGTGTCTCTGCCTCTCTCTCTCTCACTGTGTGCCTGTCATAAATAAAAAAAAAATAAAATAAAATAAAAAGATTTTTTATTTATTTATTAATGAGAGACAGAGAGAGTAAGAGAGAGGCAGAGACATAGGCAGAGGGAGAAGCAGGCTCCATGCAGGGAGCCCGATGTGGGACTTGATTCTGGATCCCAAGATCACACCCTGAGCCGAAGGCAGATGCTCAATCATTGAGCCACCAGGCATCCAAATGTCACAGAGTTTTGACTATGCATGTCTGACTTTGTATTTGGTTCCTAATAATGTTAATATAATTACTTATTTTACTTTATTCCATGATACTGATTATCTAGTTTCAAAAATAATACCAATATTATAATAAATCTACTGAGTGAAGTTTAAAATTTCTTTGTAGTTCTTTTTGCCTACAGAATATATCCTGCAAAGGATACAGAGTGTACTGAGTTCCAAAGGAACTTGAAATAATTCTTTTCTCTCATGCTTATGTTATTAATTTGATATACGGTTAGATCCATTTGATTTATTCTCAACTTTACAGTTTGTTCCCCTTTTTCATTTGATTATTTTTTGGTGATGTATATATATGTTATATGGTGATATGTGTGCTGTTAAGAAAGTGGAATAGAATGCAGCCCTTTAATACCACCAGGAATCCCATGGGAGAAATAAGCTGTAGTTTTATTTAGCAGCAGAGTGATCTATATCTAGGGTCCACTTGAAGCCCCAGTCCCTCTCTGACACTCTGTGGTCCCCTTGACTACCTGTCAGCCTCCTGGGGCCTCCAGTGGGCTGAACAGGACAGAAACATGTCAGCTGTAGATAACAATCTTCCCCTCACACTGCAGCTGGAGGATGAGCTTCTGCTCTTCTTTGAAACTGTGCATGTTACTCTCGAACCAATATTTATCATCCCAGTAATGGGACCACCTCATGAGCTGATCTGTCCCAAAACCAAATAAGGATACCTGGGAAATAGGATAAGACAGGAGAGAGCCACAGGGTCACAGGTTGGATCCTGTCTTGCCTCCATGTCTGCCAAAGCCCCCTTCAGCACTCATTTAACATCTAGTGTGACAGGTTTCCTCTTAGAGCTGGGAGGAGAACAGAACTCACCTCCAGGGAGGACACACTCTGAACACACAGTGTGATCCCAGAGCCTGGCAAGGACAGCATCAACCAGCTGCTCATCATCATATTAGAGGAAGAGAGAGGACTCCCCAGGGAGATAAGAGAAGGGCATTCCAGGCAGAAGCAACAGTGTATGAGAAAGCAGGAGGTAGCTGGTATGTTTGGAGAACCCTAAGAAGCCCAGTGTGTGAGTTTAGAGAGAGAAGAGGAAGGGAGTGGTATCAAGGAGGATCTTGTAAGCCAGGCAAAAAACTTTAGACTCAATCTGAAGTCCCTGAGAAAACGGACATTGTTGGCAGGGGGATGAAAATCTGAGTTGCAGAAGATGTCTTACCTGGTCACAAGTGTGCAGGGCATATAACAGACCCACAAACCCCAAGGATGGAAAACGATGACGTTTTCGCAGCCAATGATCCTGGATGTACTGAAGAAAGGTGAGGCTGATCACCAAGACCTGGGAAATATGAAAGAAAGTAGTCCATCCTGGGGCTGCCCACAGCCACATCACCTGACTCCTTCCCCTTTTCCCTCCTGGGTCCCTTACCTCGTCTTTGCTTGTGTTACTTCCACCAGGAAACTGGACTATCTGAAATCTAAAAAGGGTTTGGGATGGGGGAGTTTCAGAGTCATTTAACACAGCAGCTTAAGCCTTGGGGATTCCCCAATATTCAGCAAGGATCTCTCTGGAGTCCCCACTATCACCCCCAACAATGGCTTCCCTCACTGTCATACCCAGGGTTTATGGGCTTTCTGAAGCTCTGTTCCTGTAGTACTTCCATAAACCACTTTAGACCAGATGAATTCAGAGGAAGCAGCAGCAATTTGGTGCCAGGATTCTGCGTGCTAGCCATATCGGGGTACATTATGCGCATGGTGGTTGTGTTCCCCACATCCATCTCAAATCCTTGGACGGGGGCCTGGTTCATCCTGGAAAGGAGAGCAGGGTAAACATTTGGGGGAGGAGGATCTGGCCTGACCATCCTGGTCTCCACCTCCTACTCTGCACCCACCTGAGGACCATGTCATGTTGGTTAATCCTGAATCCATGGCCAGAGCCCCGTAGGCACCTTGAGTTTCCAACCACTGCACAGGTCCGACAACTGGACTCCACGTAGCCCAGTGGTTGCCCAGGAGGCTCTTCTATTGGCTTCCGAGTCTCAAACTCCCTCTTTGATTGAACACCCTGAAGTTTCGAAAAGCACAGGTTGTAGGGTACCTGTGTGCTCAGTCGGTTAGGCAAACAACTCTTGATTTTGGCTAGGGTCATGGTTCAGGGTCATGAGATTGAGTGCCACGTCGGGCTCTGGGATTGGTATGAAGTCTGCTGATCTCACCCTCCCCACTCACCCTCCCTGCTCCCACTCACCCTTATCCTCAAGCTTTCTCTCTCTCTCCTCTCTCTCTCTCTCTCTCTCTCACTCACTCTCTCTCAATCTCCTTTAAAAAAAAAAAGCATAGGAAGGAGGGAGGAACTTAGGGACTCATCCTACTCTCACTACCTTTGGAAGAAGGTTAGAGTGTGGGGCCATGAACGGAGAGATGGGCAGGGCATGGGGTTGGGAGTAGGGACTGGACAGAGACCAAGAATGTGCACCGACCAACCACAATATCAGAGCATCAGAGGATATGGGATCTTCTGGCCTCTGCACAGGCTCAATAGCCGTTTCGAAGCGTTCATCAAACCAGACAGATGTTCCAGGTACGCGGAGGCAGGCAGAGCACTCGCGGATCTCAGACGAACACCTACACTTTCTGAAAGAGTTCCTGGGGCAGTGGCATAACTGTATTCTTGTCTTTTTAGGGAAGTCATTCTGTTTGAACTCCTGGTCCAGGAAGTTCATCATCATCATCAGCCATAACGTAACTATACAGGCAGCTACCAGACCCCACTTCAAGTATTGAGCCTTCATCTCTGGCCCTGGCAATCATCCCCCAGCAGATAGTAGATTGGCTCTGGCACCTGGTAATAGGAAGGAGAAGGGGCTGGGGCCAACAGACATCCTCAGTATCCCCTGTCCTGGAGGTTCTTATCCTTCCCCTAACCCTTCACACCATACCTCTTCCCAACACTTCACCTCTTTTTTTTTTTTTTTTAGTTCGATTGATCAATTTATTTTTAAAGGGTTTTTTTTTTAAGAGATATTATTTTCTTTAAGATTATTGTTTATTTATTTGAGAGAGAGAGAGATTGAAAGAGAGAGGGGATCCCTGGGTGACTCAGCAGTTTAGCCCCTGCCTTCGGCTTAGGGTGTGATCCTGGATCCCGGGATCGAGTTCTGTGTCAGGCTCCCTGCATGGAGCCTGCTTCTCCCTCTGCCTGTGTCTCTGCCTCTCTCTCATTCTCTCTGCATATGTGTGTGTGTGTGTGTGTGTGTGTCATGAATGAATAAATAAAATCATAAAAGAGAGAGAGAGAGAGCATGAGCCGAGGGATTGGCAGAGGGAAAGGAAGAAGCAGACTCCCCACTCCCCACTCCATCCCAGAACCCTGAGATCATGACCTGGGGCAGAGGCAGACAGTTAACCGACTGAGCCATCCAAGGACCCCTAAGGATTTTACAAGTAATCTCTCCACCCAATATGGAGCTTAAACTTTCAGCCCCAAGATGAAGAGTCACATGCTCCACTGACTGAGCCAGATGCCCCGAACACCTCACCTCTTGCCTCCTCAGCCACTTGCTAACTCCTAAAAGGAACTCTGCCAAGGTCTGGGCTGGAGGCTGAGAGGATGGGAGAGGTGACACGTGTCCTGTGGTCTCCCAAAGGAGACTGATACCCAGTGAAGTCTTTCATGCCAGTCTAGTTATAACAAGGACCTCATCACAGCCACCACATTGTGACCTCCACTGTGTAGGCATGTCAGCAGGTCCCCCTTCTTCACTTTAGCATTTAGCCCAGAGCCCAGCTGATGTGGGGGAAGCTTGGGAAGTGAGGTGCCAAGGAAACAAGAAGGTGAGGAGGGAGCAGGTGTGTGCTAGGTCTGATGTAGATGAGCAGGAGAGAGAGAAGCAAGCAAGAGGAAGGGCCACTCAACCTCCTAGGTCAGAGAAAATTTCTCATCTTGACGAATTCATGAAAGTGAATATCAGGTCTCTTCTATTCAACTCTTAAGACCTCTCAAACATTGAATTTATTTTCTTTTTGAGAATTGGTAAATACACGCAAATTATTTTTTCAAAAAAAATCACATTGTACAGAAAGACTTTTTTTTTTTTTTTTTAATTTAAAAAAAAATTTTAGGGGCAGCCCCGGTGGCTCAGCGGTTTGGCGCCACCTTCGGCCCAGGGCCTGATCCTGCAGTCCTGGGTTTGAGTCCCACATCAGGCTCCCTGCAGGGAGCCTGCTTGTGTCTCTGCACCCCTCCCCTCTCACTGTGTGGCTCATGTATAAATAAATAAAATCTTTAAAACAAAATTTTTTTTAAAGTGATCTCCACCAGCCTGGAGCCCAGCATAGTGCTTAAACTCATGACCCTGAGATCAAGACCTGAGCTGATAAGAATCAAATACCTAACGCCTAACCTATTGAGCCATGCAGGCGCCTCCAAGAAGGCTTTTAACATAAAGCAACTGTCCCTGCCCTCATATCTCCCCTTCTGTTCTTCAGCACTTGCTTCCATAGCTCTAAATAATGTGCTCATACCACTAGATCATGATACTACATGTAGACTACTTGCTACGTATGATCATATCATCATGCTTAGTAATAACCTCTTGGGTCACATTGTAACTTTATAGAATGGGCCCTAACATCTATTCCTCATTCTGTCACTGCAAGACAAGGTTTCTTGAAGCCCTTCTCTCTGAGATGAGAATATTGGGCCATACACTTCTACTTGTCAATCATTTTCCTTTACTCTTCCCGACCTTGGTATTTTGAACTTTTATACCATCAAGGATAACATTTATATTCTGTGGATAAAGAAGATGTGGTCTATATATACAATGGAATACTACTCAGCCATTAGAAATGACGAATACCCACCATTTGCTTCAACGTGGATGGAACTGGAGGGTATTATGCTGAGTGAAGTCAATCGGAGAAGAACAAACATATGGTTTCATTCATTCAGGGAATATAAAGAATAGTGAGAAGGATTAAAGGGGAAAGGAGAGAAAATAAGTGGGAAATATCCGAGAGGGTGACAGACCATGAGAGACACCTAACTCTGGGAAACGAACAAGGGGTAGTCAAAGGGGAGGTGGGCAAGGGGTTGGGGTGACTGGGTGATGGGCACTGAGGGGGGCACTTGATGGTATGAGCACTGGGTGTTATACTATATGTTGGCAAATCGAACTCCAATAAAAAATATACAAAAAATACCCTTAAAATTAAAAAAAATTACATTCTGTTGTGTAAGCTGTGATGTCATTAAGTTTCATGTGCTTTGCCTCTAGCGGCACTAACCACAAGAAATATGTGAATATAAAAATATTGAGATATTTTGCATTCTTTGTGCTTGGAACGAAGTCTTCTAAATCCGAATTGTGTTTTACACTCACAGTCTATCTCAATTTGGACACTCAGTTTTCATCAGAAAGACATGATCTATACATTTAATAAAATGTTATTATCTATAAAGTAGATTTACATATCCAAGTTATAACAAGTATACTTAAAGACTTTCCAATAACTGAATTGTGTTCATTTTTAAATTTAGATTGATGAATTTTGATTCCTTACTTGCACTAGCTAATGTCACATGCTCATCGATCACATTTGATGGTGGAGAACTAGAGACTGATTCTAAAAGTCAAAGATCTATGATCATGTTCACATTACAGTGAGTAGACAAATATTGTTTCCTATAGAATCTGGTAGTGAACTAGGACTACTTTTATTCCTTTTATTGTTTATTGTAATTTCCTAAGAAAGGACATATAGGAGATAAACATTCTGAATCTTTGCAAGTCTAGAAAAGCTATTTTTCTGCTTATGGTGGATAGAATTGTGACCTCAGAAAAAATATGTTCAAGTCCTGGGCCCTGGTACCTATCAAAGTGACCTTATTTTGGTTTTTGCAAAAGTAACCAAGTTTTTAAAAGTTTGTACTGGATTAAGATGGCCCTTAAACTAATGACTGGTATCCTAAAATGAAGGAAATTTAGGAACAGAAGACACAGGGGAGCATTCCATATGAAGACGAAGGCAGAGATTAGAATTGTGTGTCTGCAAGCCAAAAAATATAAAGAGACAGAATGTACTAGCAACTAACAGAAGCTCAGAGAGAGGCATGGAACTGATTCTCCCTCAGAACCTCCAGAAGGTGGAGCACCTGGGTGGCTAAGTCAGTTAAGCATCTGCCTTCTGCTCCGGTCACGATCCCAGGGTTCTGGGATCCACGGTTCTGGGATCAAGCCCCATATCAGCAGGGACCCAGCTTCTCCCTCTCGCTCTGCCTGCCATTTCCCCTGCCTGTGCGCTCCTTCTCTCTCTCTGTTAAATAAATAAAAAGAAAAGAAAGAAAGAAAGAAAGAAAGAAAGAAAGAAAGAAAGAAAGAAAGAAAGAAAGAAAGAAAGAAAGAATCACCAGAGGAATCAACATGAATTTTGGACTTTAGCCTCCAGAGCTATGAGAGAATAAGTTTCCATTGTTTTAAACTACCTTGTCATTTGTTATGGCAGCCTCAGAGAAGAGAACGACCACACTGTCCTTGGGCTTGATTGATAGTTTGGCTGGGGGTAGAGGATCTAGGTTGCAAAAATCTAGGTTCCAGACCTTGATGACATTTTTTTTTTTTTTACATTTTTCTATCATCTTCCAGCCTTTGGTGCTGTTGACAAAAGTATGATGCTTGATCCTTGTGGACTGAGGTAATTGGAATCCTTGGTCTCAGAAACAGAAACAAATTGCTAAATGTAAGCACAAAAATAACTCACTGGTTAAATATCTAGCAGTTTACAGAATAGATGTGAAAGCTGCAGAACCAGTCTGAGGCTATCACCAAGGGAGGTAAGATGTAGCCAAAGACTACCCCAGGAATGGCCGGCCTGAATGTCACCACTGTTGCCACTGCAACCAGATCCTTGACCCTGTGGGATGACAGTAGTTTCAATATGACTACAAATTCTTTTTAGCTCCTTCCAGCAGGATGAGGAGTCCATTTCCCTACTTGTTGAATCTGAGGTCATGTTACAACTTCATCTCACCAATACAATGCTGCACAGACACCGTGTGACTTCATAGCTTCCACCTTAACACACC